AGTAGAATCGGATTGTGGTCCGACGATCCTTCCACCAGGGTCTCTATCTCGAACTCCTCTCTGATGTTGCGGAGGATGGCTATGTCCAGTACCGCAGGTCGCCCAAGGCCGAATGGAATGTAGGTTGGTTGCTCCGGACCGACGATGACCCCCGCCAGGGCATCGACGTGTTCCTGGAGCTGCCTTGCATTCCTGTCTTCGACGTTGTTGTTCCATGCCGGAGACTTGCAGTTTAGATCTCCGATGACTATGCGTGCTCCTGGGCCTCTCAGGAGGTCAGCGATGTCATCTTCGTCTAGGGCCTCCCCTGGTGGCACATATAGGGAGGTGATTCTGTAGCGACGGTGGTTGTGATGGACCTGGACCGTGATTCCGTCCCCATTGATGTCTGCGGCATCGTCGAGGACATGACTCGTCAAGGTACGTCAGACTATGGGCAGCATCCAATTTCGTTTCTTGGATGGCCATCACCTCTGGTTGGTACTGGTCTAGTATCTCATGGATTTCTGGTTTCCGTGCCCTGAATCCGTTGATGTTCCAGGAGATAATGCGTAGAGATTCTACGTTTTGCCCTGTAGTCATTTCGGATCTAATGCTTGTCTTGCATCTTGGCCTCGAGTGCATCCAGGCGGGTTATGATGGCTTGCATCATTGCTAGCAGTCTGTCATCGCCGTGTTGCTTCTGCACAGTAGTTCCAGTAGCAGTGGCGGCTGCTGGGGCAGAAGTGAACATAGGTTCCTTCGCTTTTTGAGCGTAAGAGGTCCTATTTGTGGTGGGAACTGCTTTGGGGGCAAAAGCAGCTTTCCTCGGGGCCTTACTACATCCCTTGTAGTTGGCGGGGTGGCCTTCTCCACAAAGGCAACACTTGGCGTTTCGTTGCCCTGTTGGCGGCGCTGGCAGACTGCAGCTGGTGCTGCTGTGGTCCTCTCCACACTTAACGCACCGTTCAGCGAGACGGCAGTTCCGCTGTGTGTACCCGTACCGCTGGCAGCGGTAACATTGGCTGGGCTCGGTGGACTTTTTCTTCCTCTCGAAGCTGACCGTGAGCATGGCCAGCCCTGGATCTCTGCAAGCTTTTCCGGCATCTTCGTCTTGACGAGGAAGAGCGGAAGTGGCTTCTTGGTGGTCCTTGAGGTCATCTGCTGAACCTCGGCGTCTGCGATGCCTTGGCTCACTAGATCCTCTTTGATGTCATTGACTGACATCTCTCTGGGTAGCCCACGAATGACCCTCTGGTCCATCCTGTCCTCCTTCAGTTGATAGGTGAAGAAGAGCCGCTTAATGGAGTCCAGCAGTGCGACTAGCTGACGATAGTCAGCTGGTGTATTTGTGAACACCTTCACACTGTTACCCGCCGTCCTCGCCTTGGGGAATTGGATCCCCTTGTTGTTTATCATCCTACTTAAGGATGACCAGTCAGCGGTGCCCTCGATGCTGATGGGGGGAACTCCTGTTCCCGACATGGGGGGCACGATGGTCCTGGCTGCTCTAGGACTCTTCTTGGTGGCGGCAGCTGGCATCTTTGGCTGCCTTGGCGACTCGTCTTCGGAGGAGGAAACTCGCACCCGCTTCCTCCGTCTGGTGGCGACACTGAAATCGGTGTCGTCGGTCCTCTTCACGGCTTCTTCTATTTCTTCGGTCCGATGAGTGCCCTCTTCTTGAGCGTCCATCTCGTCCGACGTAGCCTGGTGGTCCTCTTCCTCTTCTTCTTCGGTCTTCTTTGCGGCCTTCTTCTTGGCCCTGCGGAGCTTCCCGTTCAGGTCCTCGATCTCCTGTTGAGCCTGCAAGAAGGCTTCTTGCAGGTTTCGCATCTGCTCTCCCAGCATGGCGAAAGCATCTTTCTTTTCTTTCAGCTGGTTAGCCAGCTTCTCAATTTTCGCCATCGTAGATGGCAAACAACCAATCTATCGCAATGAAAATCGCAATAAGATTGCTCAATATGACCGGGTGGGTCGCAGTCGCACAAGTGTATACTCGCGACGGCTGCTAGCTCGGAACTTGTGCCTGCCCCGCTTGATACAACCTTCTTATATACGCGCCCGTGGCTTCTCGAATATTCGGGGATGATCGAGAGATCAGTCCAATTTCCAGTAGATTCGCTGCGGCCTGCTATTGGTCGCCGGTGGCGTCACATGTTATTGTATTTTATCGTTAATGTAAGAATTGTGCATATTCGGTATTTGAGAGTAATTTATACATGTGATGTATACATGACCCGTGAAGCGGGCCGCAAGAAAGGAGTTCGCGGGCGGTATGTTGGACAGCCCTGCTTTAGGTAATATTCGGGACTAAATTTAGGTTGTTTTTTCTGTGTTGATGAAATTTTGTTGCAATGAAAATTCGTTTAAAAAGTAGATTGGTAGGGTGGTTCCAGAAGTACGCGGCCTGGCCTAGAGATGACGACAGTTGTTTGAAAAATATCATTGTATTATAAAGTATGCAACCTATAAAGCACTTGTGTCAAGTTTGAAGTCGCCACGTTGTTTGGTATTTGTTTGGCAGCCATAAATAATGAACGTTATCAGTGAATTTTAGCAGTACTGAATGATCGTCGACTGAAAGTGCGCGAGCTAGCAGACATAGTAGGCATTTCAAAAAGTGCGGTTCATTGCATATTATCTGAAAATTTGGACATGAGAAAGCTGTGTGCAAGATGGGTTTCATTTGAGTGTTTAGCAAAGTTTCACAGCAACAAAGCAGAATTTTTGCGTCGTTTCATAACCACAGATGAAACATTGGTCCATCACTTCACACCCGAGACAAAACAACAATCAAAACAATGGACTCAAAAGGGACAAACAGCTCCAAAGAAGGCGAAGAACGTTTCATCTGCAGGCAAGGTTATAGCGTCGGTTTTTTGGGATGCGCGTGGGATAATTTTCATTGACTATCTTGAAAAAGGTAAAACTATCAACGGCGAGTATAATGCGAACTTACTGAGCGATGAAATCAAGCAAAAGCGGCTGTATTTGGTTAAGAAGAAAGTGTTGTTTCATCAATACAATGCACCAGCTCACAAATCCGTTATTACAATGGCCAAAATTAACGAATTCAAGATTGCTACCTCATGCACCCTATTCACCAGATTTAGCCCCCTTGGATTATTTTCTGTTTCCAAACTTGAAAAAATGGATCAGTGGTCAAAGATATTCCAACGATGAAGAAGTGATATCGGCAGTTAATGGCTATTTTGAGCAGCAAGACCGTTCTTATTATAAAAAGGGTATCGAACTTATTGAACATCGCTGGGAAAAGTGTATCGAGCTCAAAGGAGATTATGTTGAAAAATAAATACATTTTTTTACAAAATTTTTGTGTTTTCTTCGTTGGGTCGGGTACTTCTGGGGCCACCCTCTATACTTCCTACTCCTTCGAAAAAACTTTTGGTACAATTTTTCATGTAGTGAAATGAGATCAAAGAGATGCAGGTTTTGTCAGAACCAGTAGTGCACTATTTTGGCTTATCATGAAAAAAGTTGCCTCAGATTGCGCCAATGAGCGTATCTTTACACGGGAGCCTCATCTATTTGGAGCCCTAATCTAAAGCTGTCTGTCGACAACGCTGCCTGTCGCCAACGTTCGGTAACTGACTGTAATAAATACTGGTATTATATTACGTCACGGAATCGAATAAAACCACTGAACCACTGAAGCGTAACTCTCATATATCTAGATAATATCACGCCCACCTTGTATATCGCCGTGCTGCTTACCTGCTCCAATCGATTAATAATCTGGTGACGCATCGCATATGCGACGGATAGGCGATCCATCTGCTGAATATTTTTCTAAGTTTTAAGGCAAATGTATGACGTGTGAAATATTTCTAATTCTTGCGTAGAATTACTGGAACTGAGAGAGTATTAATTAACATCCTTGTCATCCCTCAGCAAAAACAGTTTTACAAAAATGAGCATGATCCTCTGAACGACAAAAAACGAAGTTTGAGTGATTCCATTTCGTTTTTGGCTTTTTTTTCCTTACCGCCATTGGACTTATTTCCAAACGCAACAGAGCTATTTCGTCGCTGTCGTAGTATCAACGTTGTGTGAGAATTTCATCCAGATCCGGGCAATACTTGCCAAGTTATCTTATCTTACACCGAAGCTGCCACGCAGGCAGAAGCCTAAATGCCAGTACACCGCGGCTGAGATGAGGAGCTTTAAGAAACTTTGTTATTCCGATTTTTGATCTGCCTAACGTTAGCAGAACTGGGAAAAGCCTCCTCATGTGTATTAAAGAAAAAGTTGTTTTTGAAAGTAAAACAAAATACAATATCAAGAGGTTAGGTTTGAGTGAAACATGCATATACATTTTGTACTATAATCACATTCTCTAAATCGCTTAGGAAGCGCAAATGGAAATTCGAGCTTCTGCGCAAAACAACCATCTCTAGTAACCATCAATACTAAACAGATAGGATAGAAAAAACAACGGCAAGTAGGTTGACTCTGCACTTCCCATGCAACACAAACTAGACCCTCTGAGAAAAAAGTCATTTAACCATACAATTAGTCTATAGACATTCTTTCCCTGACCTACCGGTAAACGTCGCGTTTCCCCGAAACTGAACACGATCAGACATGGCAGGGCGGTCCAAGCATAGGAAACACTATGCTGTGGCGTGGCAGAAATACGTGTAGTATCATACCAGAACACATCACACTCACCAAGGCCGGCGGCACGCTGCTGGGAGTACTGAGAACATTTTGACTACAAAGCTTTGCGTCCTTGGCATAGCAGTAGCATTGTGTAAGAATTTCACTGAAATAAGTACTTCTTAATCGGACAGCCTAAAGTCGGTCATAAGGTTAGCGAACAGGCCGGCAGACAGTCACACAATGAGTGACATCATTTTTCGTGATGTACATGTCATATAACATCCAAAAAACATAAAATCTCATTTTCGAAAAAATTCGCGATTACAATACTTCCCCGCCAGTAGACATGGGAAGTAAAATATGTGCTGATAAACGTAACAACCTTTCATTATTTCCTAGACAATTACAGAGTGAAAAGAAACCTGCTTGATGAATATACTATTAGCTGATCAAACTTTGACCTTAATTGAAATGTGGACTGTCACGTAACTAATTAGCATCAGGAGCAAAGCATAATATGTGTACAATTTGTTGCAATCAGTAGATACTGGTGCTGTGGTTGGGGATCCCAGTTGCAAGTATACGTAAAAGGGAAATTCGATCATTAGGTACGTAGAAGTTAATTGCTCTTTAACGCCTCTTTATGTCAGTTTCCTTTGTCGATCAGTCACTCGGCAATTCCGAATGGCTCAAGTGACTAGAAGGTTTAGATACTGTATCGCATTTACCACTTAAGTCACTCCTGAACAGTTGTGAAATTGTACCCATTCAGTATTGTCATTTCCTGGAAGTCGGAAGACGTATATTTGTGTGCGGTATGATTAAGAGAGCAAAAAGCGCTCTTATTTTCTTCTATCACGCACGACACATCTGTCACTATCCATTTGAAATTTGCCAGAGATACCCATATTTTATCGACATGAGCTTGAACTGCTCAAAAATTCGATTCCGCTTTGTACTCCCATTGTATATACAAAATTTTCTAGAATATCTGGGAAGTGATGAGGCTTATCTATACGATATCACTTTCCTCGAACATCATTTTTTCATATCACTTCTTATAAAAATGTCATTTCGTATACATAGATCGATACATGCATCTAGTAACATTTTTGTAACCATTTTGTCTTGTAATAAAACATTTTTTCTTTGAACTTCATGTCTTTTGACTTTTCATCACTTTAATGTAACACGGACGTAACTAAGTCTTTATTCTATGAATTACGACCCTTCAATATCACAAAATAATGTATCTACATAAAATGAAAAATGGGTTAATCGTTGCTCATTTTTGAAAAGCTTGTAAGCATGAGGAGATATACCCACAAATTCATTTATGTAGCAATATTACGTTTTTGTCAGCAACAAGTCAAATCTCGCGAAACTATGTAAAATTGGAAAGAATGGGATACGCCACTTCGTGTTATGGACGACGATATATGGTATTAAAGATCTGGCGTGTGTAGATAAATCAGCGTAAAAATTAAAATTAGAAACCGTTCATTCTCAGATATAAAAAGGTCTCGGTCCATATTACCTACAATTTCACTATGCCCGTTTAAGCACCCTGTATAAAGAACTGGTAAAAACACGACGAACATATAAGGAATAAAACCTTGTTCATTTTTTCATGATTTTTAGAAGCTTGCTAACAAGAGTTCCATGTATTTTATACCTACGCCACTGTTCATCAAAAAGTCGTTGCGATAAGCTATGAACACATTATTTTCAAATAACGCTACGTAATCAACATAAACGATTGCATTACATAGTGTTAAATCGCAGCCAGAAAAGATCAAAATGTCCAACCCGGCGGACCTCGTCTTCACCCTACGGAACAACTTCAATTCCGGAAATACAAGGCCCTATGAGTTCCGCCTCAAGCAGCTCCAGGGTCTTTGTAAGCTTCTGGATGACCAAGAAAAAGAACTCACGGATGCAATACTCAAGGATTTGAGGAAACCACGATTTGAGGCGTTGTTGTATGAGGTGAAATATACTAAGAACGAGGTATTGAATATGATCTACAATTTGAAAGAATGGATGAAGCCCACAAAACCAAGCAAGCCGTTGCCCTTTCTAATGGATGAGGTAAGTATTCCTCTTCGTTACAACTATATTTATGCAATATGTAGACTTAAGTCCATGAAAACTGTCGGAAAGGAGCTAATTACTTCAGCCACTGCCAATAGATTCCGTTATGAATTGCTTTTCTAGGCATCTGCCCATTTATGTACTAGGACTGTAAAGTAACTTTAGCGCCAGATATTTATAAATTGACCTAAGCTCATCAATCAGCACTGTTGGTATTTATTTGTTGCTAGACTGTGGTTTCAACAATTGTCATTGAGTGTTATAGTATAGTATTTTTTATGTCCAATTAAAGACTAAACAATTTTTCTTACTTTAATAGCCTGTCGTAAGATTTTTTGTGTATAAGAATAGTAATAATAATAATAATAATAATAATAATAATAAATGGCCTTTATTCGTCACAGCATTAGAAAATAATTTGCTTAATAGGAAGAGTGACGAAAACGTGGGGTGTCAGCTTACGCTGTTTTTCAACCCGACCTAAAGAAAAAGTACCTACATTTAAATGGCTCAGTTCACAACATTGACCACAAAAAAAAAGAAAAGCTTAAAATATTACACTTCTCAGGAAAAGGAAACAATCAATTGTTTTCCTGTGGATATGCGTAAAGTTAAATTCTAGCCATCCGATTGCTTTAAGCTCATCTTTAACCTTTTTTTAAAGTTGCTTAGGCTGTATTCGTTATACTCACTTGATAAGCAGTTATATAGTTTGGGAGCCCAGTACGAGAAACTACGTGTGAGCAATGCTGGCGAATACCGCGGGATTAGTAAGATGTGATTATTCCTAGAGGATCGTTGAGCGTACTGACAGAGGAGGGATAGCTTTGCACGGCGTATAGAACTTGGATTTTAGTAAGTTTTAAGATTAACGAGATGACAGGCTCCGCAAAATCATTCAAACCTAAACAAAACCTTTTCTAATCCTGCACCTGGAGCAGATCAAACGTGAACACGTTCGATGCGCATCAGTACCCAATCAAGGCGCTGGCCGCGTTCGTAAACAAAACATTTCGTTCTCAAAAAACAAAACAAAAATGGCACACTCATACAGCAATATCAATATTATCTAATTTACGATGCGTGTCTTCGAAATGCTCCCGAGGCTTCGCGAGTGCATGCAGATCGTTTTTCAAGATCCTGATTTCTTTTTTTTGTTTGGGGCGAAATGTTAGTCTGAGGTGAACAGTGTTGACGAACTACGTATGCGAATTTAGCAATCTGCTGCTACGTCGAGCACATACATGTATCTCTGAATCTGTCAAAGACAACTCTGAACAATCCTTACAAGAGACAGAGCTGTACTTGAAATTTCTTTTCGATGAACGGTGCTTTTTTATTTTGTTACTTTTTCGCTGTTGTTTCACCTGACATTAGCTTTGTTATTACAAACCTAGTTGTTTCTGAAAAGGTAAGTCTCATCTTTTAGGAAACGACGTATAGATAGAAGATATATTATTTTATTATCTGGCATTTATCTCAATTACCTACCACAGCTAAGACGATAGAGGTTAAAAATCTGAGTTTCTTTAGAAAATATCTGGGTGAATCTTAAAGTAAAGTTCTGGAAGTGTCGATTCCGAATGAAGATCACCATCCATGGAACAGCAGCAGAACCAAACACTTTAACTTTTTTCTAAGTAGGTTTATAAATTAATTTTTGTGTTCTGCTACTGTTGTTTAGATGACGCGGCGAAATTTCAGATCTCTTTTTGGACACCGGCATACAGTATATTGTTGACTATCTCTAGGTAGAATACGTTAATCAATGGTATAAGGTGTGTAACGTTTTATTTCTCAGAATTTACTGCTTGGATCAAAAAGGCATCATTTTTCTTTATTATCAGTATATTTTGTTTAAACTGTATGTACGTTTCCCATTCATATTAAAAAAGCTCTATTAATGCAAGATCATTTTAACATAACTTTTGGAATTCATGTCCGTACTATAAAAATCCAATAATGCATAGTCATCTGTAGCTGTTAAACCTACATATTCTTATCTACACGTAAAGTATACATATTTTTATTGAAAAATACAAGTCTAGGTTTTGACCCGATGACACTGCATTTATAGATGGTATACAGTAAACAACAATTCAGACACATAGGCGTAGATAATATAAAAGAGATTATGTTAATTCTGGTATCAACTACCTCTTGAACCTATAGGGTCTCTTCATTTTCAAGGTTCACTTAACCGGAACGTTTAGGCTGTACTGATTTTACAGTAAATCGCATCGTATATTTGTTTTTAAATATATTCCTTAGACAAAGAATTCAGTAAGCCGCCCTTTACTCACTATGAAAGGTCTGACATAACTTACTCAGAGAACAGAAGAGTCTAATATTTAAGAGTCTATGAGCATGCGTTTTTTTTTCTGCATTCCTTCATAGGTATACCATATAAGGGAAAGCCAAGCAACGCGGGCAAAACGAATTATCTAATATCTCGTTTTACATCTTAACAATGGCTCTGCTACCGAGAAAAAAATATATAGGCATATTCGCCAAGTTTCTTGAATAATCGGCGATCAGTTATAAGAGAATTTGCATGTTTATTGGCCTTCCAGACAAAAATATGTATTTTGTCTTTTCAATAAAATGATTAATGTTGCATAATAGGTGTTGTGCTCATAATTTCAAAATTGTCTTTAAGAACGGCTTTTCAAGGTATCTAACGTATATTTTAAGGACTCAGTGATACAACCGCCTATTTTGGTAGAAAACAAAGAAGTTTTGAAAAACTCTGACAAACCGTATTCACACGTATCCTTACTTTTGAATGAATGAATGAATTCATAATTAGTATTTTGGTGCGGATAGTGTATGGATATGAAAAAAAACAAACCTTGGATCCACGCCGAAAAACTCATAAAGTAACTACTGTAATTAACATATACTACCAGTGGTGTCATGAAAATATTTTTGAATTAGAGCAAGTTCACGGTTATTCTGCTCAGTATACAGGGTGTTCCTTAATGATATGCGAATATTTAAGGGTGTGAATCTACATGAAAAATTAATGTCAGTTTGCTTTATAAACTATGGCCCAAAAATGTTTCCTTATCAAAACTCGGGGTGTTGAAGTTTTAGGAAAAAAATGGAAATTAATTAATATTTTCAGAACCGCTTCAGATATTTCACTGATATTTAGTACGTAGTGAAAGTTAATAAAGTTGCATATTTTTCAATGCAAAAATAATTTTTAGCTTTAACAGTGGCGTGTGTACGGGTATTAACGTCGATATTTTTTTAACAAAAAAATGGTATGCCAATAGTTTTTTGCCACATAAAAATAATTTTTGAATTCCCCATTCAATTTAAAACAAATGACCTCTCTTATTGTTTTCTTTCGATACGCCGTTTTTGTGTAAAAAAATAAAAACCGTTCTATTGTCCGAGAAAATTAATGAAATAATTGAAGAATGCAATTTAGCAATCAATATCTAGTTGCTCTGGAATTTGTCACTGGCTTTTGACATCTGACAGGTCTCTGTTATTCAAATCTGTTGGCTGTGACATCTTTTTCATTATTTCGTTTTTACAATCTTGTTACTAATGGTGAATTATTCAAATGCAGAAATGGCGGAAATGCATTACGTATACGGCCTTTCCGACGGTAATGGTGAGCAAGCCAGACGGATTTATCACCAGAGATATCCCGATCGTGCTTTGCTAGATAGTCGAACCTTTTCTAATAATAATCGTCGTCTTGTTGAAACTGGTTCTGTCCGAAAAGGAACATCTGAAGGTAGACCTCTAAGTGTGAGAACATCTGAAATTGAGGAAGCAGTGCTGCACGAAGTCGAAGAACATCCTGAAACGAGTACGAGAAAGATCGCTAAACACTTAAATATGCCATCAAATTGTTTGGAGAATTTTAGTATATATTTTGTGTTATCCTTACCATATCTTAAGAGTACAGGCATTACTTCCCATTCTGTTCACGGACGAAGAAGACAAAGATTGCTAAACATTTAAATATTGGCCATCAAATTGTTTGGAGAATTTTAGTATATTTTTTGTGATATCCTTACCATATCTTAAGAGTACAGGCATTACTTTCCATTCTGTTCACGGACGAAGCTAATTTTTCTCGAAATGCTATTCAGAATTTCCACAATAATCATTTGTGGGCAGAAGAAAATCCCTATGCCGTAACCAAAACCCATTTCCATCACCAATTTTCGGTTAACGTATGGGCAGGACAGTTGCCTTTGCTGCTTGAGCGTTAGTAATAAGAAACAATATGTGGTACATGTATGATGGTGCACCAGCGCATTTCAATGTAGCGGTACGTAATTATTTACAAATTGTTTATCCAAATCGTTGGATTGGCCGCGGTGAGCCCCAAGAATGGCCACCAAGGTCCCCAGACCTCAATAGTTTAGATTTCTTTTTATGGGGCTATCTTAAGACACTAGTGTACACAAGACTGTAGAGGAATTAATAGAAATAATAGTTGCAGCTTGTGATAGAATAAAAAACACTCCAGGGATATTTCAACGAGTGCGCAATTCCATGAGAAGGAGGGCGGAAGCATACATATGAAGTAAAGGGGGCCATTTTCAACAATTTCGTTGATTTTAATGTTATGTTTGTGTCGTCAATTTTAAATTAATAATAATTTTGCACGTTAGACAATAGAACAGTTTTTATTTTTTTACTCAAAATGGCGCATCGAAAAAAAAATCAATTTAAGATAGATCATTTGTTTTAAATTAAACGGAAAATTCAGAAATAATTTTTATTTGGCAATAAACCATTGGCGTACCATTTTTTTTTTAAAATATCGAAATCAATACCCGTACGCACGCCACTGTTAAGGCTCTAAATTATTTTTGCATTGAAAAATATGCATCTTTACTAACTTTCACTACGTACTAAATATCAGTGAAATATCTGAAGCGCTTCTGAAAATATTAATATATTTCCATTTTCTTCCTAAAACTTCAACACTCCGAGTTTTTGTAAGGAAACATTTTTGGACCATAGTTTATAAAGCAAACTAACATTAATTTTTCATGTAGATCCACACCCTTAAATATTCGCATATCATTAAGGAACACCCTGTATATGATATTTTTGTATGAGTTCCTAACTACTTGTGATATGTATGTACTTCACCTAGGGGGGTCCGAAGGAAAGGATTATTTGAATATTTTTGCAAATTATGTTTCTGATGGCTACAACTACTTAAGGACTATTACTTACTTTTATTGAATAGGGATAAATAAAAAAATATTTCAGTTTTTTTTCTTAATTAACATTCTTGTAATAGTAGTAGAAAGCTTAGAGTGTTCACTTTTCCCTCAAGTCTTCCTTAGTTTCATTCACTTTTCCTTAATTTTCTCTCATGCAGATTAGTTTTGATTCTCAAAGAGCGCAAGCACATGGTCGCAAATCTTCAAACACGTACACAACAATCTTCATTTGAGTCTTTATTATGTAGTAAATTCATCACATGAAATTCTTATAGAAGAATAACATTGCAGTTGAAACAGATAGTAAGTGCAGAAAATGAAAATATGATCGGTGAGCGTTCTATGTGGAACCTCAGGAACATGTCTTCATTTTACAAAGGGATACTCGGGATGATCTTTCATACTGCAAATGGAAAAAATGTCATAAACAAAGCATATATGTATAGCACTTGAGTTAGACATCAACATAGTAGAAAACCTAAGACTTCTAATAAAATTCATACCCTTTTAAGAAGTCCATATTAAAAATCCTTCCTTCTTCACCCATATCCAAAGCTTTTAGTTGCTCTATGTCATCTGAGTCGAGCGAAAAGCTTAAAGCACCCATATTTTGCTTCAACCGTGCTGGATTAGTGCTTTTTGGAATCACCACAACGTTTTGTTCGATCCAAAATCTCAGCAAAATTTGCCCAGTTGCTTTCTTATGTTTCTCTGCAATTTTTTGTACCGCTGGTTGTTGGAGGATATTTGGCATTTCTCTAGTTCTGAAACAGATGTCAGAGACATTATCTTAATAAAGATGTTCTGCTTTTGTCCGTGCAACCAAGGACAGTCAACCAAAGACAGCTATTTCGTGCTTTTGGGTACTCCTCTGCATGTTCTAGGTCTGGGTCTCCCGGACAACGAACGAAGCATAGAGCATAGCAACTAACTATACAAAAGTGTGTGATCTATCGGAATAAAACAACACGAAACGGCATCCGTCGGTAGAAACGACCACTGGTTGGAGCTGTATAGATCTCAGTCCGCGAACTGGAGGCACAGCCACCAAGTGACCGCTAGATGGCGATGCTTCAAGCTGTGTCCTAGATGTGGTCTACTTGCTAGTGATAGATGGTGCTTCGCGCTGTCATATTTCGTTTATATTATCTTATTGAGCGAATATGTCAGAATTTGATATTTCGGTATGTTTTGTAACAGATCATACCTAGTCTATCAGTAGGTCTGTCAGTTTGCCTATCGATCTGCTTGTTTTTCAGTATATACCTATGTCGTTCCAGTCTCTCTCTAAGCATCCTTGTCACCGCCAAAAATATAAGGTGCATCAGTTATGATGAAACTTGTGGTGGAATATACTTATTTATTCAAGAAATCCATTCTTTGTCTTCGATTTTACTTACGGAAATCCGTGTTTTTGCATAAAATTATTGAATCCTGGTGAGCCTAGTGGTGAATAAGCCACAACAACGATACCGTTGCTCTGGCAGAATTCTACCAATTCCTTTTGTTGCAAAAGTACATGCAGCTCAATCTGCAGACTTGCTGGTTTTATTCTAGCATTCTTCAAAACCTTTTCTACCTGTCGCTTGTTGAAGTTGGAAAGGCCGATTGCTTTGGTTCTGCCTGCATCCACCTGTTCCTCCATTTTCTACGAAAAAAAAAATGTTAGACTGAACTGCATGCGTTTTCTTTATTATTTGCTTAATTGCGATGAATTTTGATTTCACATAATTTTTTTAATGTAACTCCTGCAACTTATCCTGTGGTTTTCATGTTCACCGGACTCCATTATCTGGCCGAATAAAACCACATAATACAGTGTGTCCCTGATTCGCTTCTCTATGCACGGATCTCGGCTCCTGGAAAGTTTTAGAGGAAAACTTGGTGCTTTCGATGGCCAGCTTCAGATTTAAGATCGGTCAAATCGTTTTGAAAATATGAGTGAAAAACCGAAAATGGCGGTATTTGTTTTTTGCCGGTAAATCCAAAACGGTTAGTTTGACAAGCTGTCAAAATGTGACAGTTTTTAAGAAAAATAAGATGGCATGTACGGCATGTCTCAATCGTCTTTTGTTTTCCAGCAACCCGCCGCAACTTTCATTTTTCTTATGGCCGCCATATTGGATTTTTTGAAAATTTCCAGTCTAGTGATGTCTCACAAGTGCATAAAAGATTGAAGTATCATCGGAATATCTTCACACGTAATGTTAGGTAGGGGAAGTGGGGGCATAGTGGTGACGCGGGGCACGACGGGGCCATCAACATATCTATATCTATATAACTACGCACACGTGTGTTGTCACCGCCAACAGCCTACCTATGTTGCATCACTCTTCAGTCTGACAGTATCCGGCGACTTGTCTGCGCGCGCTTTTGTTTTATAACCTATAATTGTTTTCGGTGTCATTTCATCTAATTTTAAGTGGTTACAAAAACGCATTTAAAAAGGTAAGTGTTCAGAGTAATACCATCGATTTTGTGTTGTGTTTTTAAGAGACATCAATTATTGATATGTTTTGGAAAACATCTCTGTAACTACCAATTTTTTTGTTTGTTCGAAATTAAAAAGAATGTTACACATGGGGGCATAACGGGGCCGTGGTGATGAGGTACAATGGGCCTCGTCACTGTTGTCCCCATTATGCCCCTGTTATGTAAGCTGTTTGAATAATCTGTTTATTTGTGAATAGGGTTCATTTTGTTGCAGATAAAAAATGGTACGTACGTACAAAAAGAAAAGTTCCAGAGGCAGTGGGTCTAAAGAAAGCATGAAACAAGCAATTGATGCAGTTTTGAGCAAAACAATAGGCTACAGAAAAGCATCTCAACTCTACGGTGTTCCACAAACTACATTGGAGCGTTATCTCGTCAAAACACGAAAGGGCGAGGTGTCCCTCAACTCCACTCCAGGTAACTTTAAACCCGAATTTTCCAAAAAAGAAGAAGATGAGCTCGTGAGGTATATTAAAGAAATGGAGAAACGTCTGTTCGGATTAACCACTGTCGTCCTACGAAATCTGGCTTATCAGTTGGCGGAGAAAAATAATATTAACCATGATAAAATGATGGCTGACGTAGATTGGTTGAAAGGATTCATGAAACGTCATCCAGATTTATCCATCCGCAAACCAGAAGCCACATCAGCAGCTCGGGCAATGGGGTTCAACAAAGTGGGAGTGGATAAATTTTATTCCTTGCTCGGGGAAATATATGATAAACATAATCTAAGGCCAGATAGGATATATAATTGCGATGAGACTGGCATATCATGTGTCTCCAAAACAAAGAGCAAAATAATTGCAGAAAAGGGAAGGAAACAGGTAGGCTCACTTTCTTCAGCAGAACGAGGGCAGACGGTCACGGTTGAAGTATGTTTTAATGCAGCTGGAACTTACATGCCTCCCATGCTGATATTTCCTCGACAGAGAATGAAGCAGGAGTTATTGGATCACGCTCCTCCAGGAACGACGGCAGAATGCAATGCTCGAGGCTGGATGACTACTGAGACATTTATGACGTAATAACTAACCCGGTCTTGCTGCTTCTAGATGGTCATGTAACGCATACACAAAACTTAGAGGTTATTGAAAGTGCGCGTAAGAATGGAGTTGTAATGCTTTTCTTTCCCCCTCACTGCACCCACAGGCTCCAACCTTTGGATGTTGGCTTTATGAAACCTCTGAGTGTATATTATGACCAAGCTTGTTCTAACTGGTTAAGGTCGCATCCGGGGCGAATAATAACAACTTTTCAAATAAGCGAAATCGAAGAAACAGAAGAAGAAGGACGTAGAAAAAGTGGACGAGGATATCTTATGCCTCTATTGCGTTGACGAGAACCATAGTTACTGGAAGTCTGCAGAGAATTGGGTGGCCTGCCAGCTGAGTGAACGTTGGTCTCATACAGCCTGTGCTGGAATTGACGACAAAAATTCGAAAGAAATCCACATCTGCTTATACTGTGAAGCAATATAACTATGTACCCCGTGTTGCCACTACCGTGGGGCACAATGGGGATTTAATAAGGATTTCGTAGAATTAAATTTAAGGATATTATTTGATTAGTTACTTTACGAAAGTCTGTGCCAAATGAATCTGTAATATGCAACCAAAGTATCAAGATTAGTTTTGATTGAAAAATATATTTTGTTTATTCTTTTATTCTTTATTTTCCTTAACGTCCCCGTTATGCCCCCTTCTCCCCTACTAGGTTTTGCTAAGGAGGCCATGATGTCAGAAAATAACATGCGTAAGGCATAAAAAACACAAAAACGCCTTGAATTTTCAGTGGAATATTAACGTTAACATGGACTTCTCAACCAGTCAAATGTTTTGTCAGAAAAATCGTCGTAAAATTTCACACTTGAACAAACACACATTTTATAAAATTGTAGTGTAATGTCAAATCTAATTATGTAAGTGGGTATTAATTTACAGATTTGCAAAATCCCGTTCATTTGTACCCAGAAATTTTTTACAATTGGTGACTGTTTTTCGTACAACCTTAGCCAGTTTAGTCAAAATTCTTTGTCTCAGAATTTCTGTGGCCGCGGGAGGATCAAATTCATAGACCTCATTCTCTGCATGACCCCAGAGGCAGATATACAAGGGTGAAAGGTGAGGGAATCTAGGAGGCCAAGACATTGAACCATTTAATGAAATTTTTCTTTCATCAAAGTGTTCTCTTAAGAAATTCCTGACTTGAATGGTGTAGTGAGCCGGACATTCGTTCTGTTGAAACCAGGTTCTTCTAAACTCATCTTCGGTTAGACTAGCTCGTAAAGCCGGCACAACCTGGTTTCGCAAAAGCTCTAGGTACTTCTGTCCCTTTAGATTTTAGTCGAACAAAAATGGTCCCATAAGTCGATATCCTGAAATAATTAATACCTAATTTCAAATAAGTGCCCAACTAAAAAAGGTAAGTTAGATTAAATTACCCACATGACCCCACACCAAACGTTAGTTCCAAATCTGGTTTTGTGGACGTCTCTCTGTCACATCGTGAGGCTTTTCCACAGCCCAATGATGAGTGTTGTGCTTATTAAAAACTCCACAATTCGTAAGCCTACTCTCATCGGAGCACAAGACATGATTTACAAAATCTGGATTTTCATTAGACTTCTTAGGCCCGTATCGTCAGTCGTCCCTACAATTGTAGGGTGCGTTTATGGCCTCCTTGATTGTCATTCTCCTTTCTCTCCTTCAAAAATTTCTAGATTACACTTGTCCTGTGTCAGCGTCAGCGCTCTCCTATTATGAAGATATGTTTTCTTTTTAAATTGTAGGAAATTTCAGGCTGATAAAACATGATATAACTCAAAAGCAAGCACAATTTGATGCAAATAGATGTTTGTGACATAACCTCAAAATAGAGCGCTGACACGGAGAAGTAGAAAACTATGACAATCAAGGAGACCATAAAGGCGCCCTACAATTGTAGGGACGACTGACGATACGGGCCTTAGTATACCACCCACAAAAGCGCATTCGCCTTGAAAAATCAGTTTCCTTAAGTCCTTGAACGATTGCAGCTTTGTATGGTTGGTATTTATTCGTATTTAATAATCTCTGTACTGTTGATTTCGGCACACCAATTGCTCGTTCTATAGTTCCTACTGATGCACTAAGGATTTCGTTGACACTTGTAAAATGTTTCTGTCGGGATTTTCATTTTCAATATAGTATCCGCTTCTAGGTTGTTCGAAGGCCCCACGGTTTATCAAATTAACTACTATTTTTTGCAAGTACAGTGCTACCATGTCAATCTTTCCTTCATTTAAGTAGGGAATACCGGCCATTTTCAACAGGTTTTGAAAAAGAATTTGTCAGTTTTATGATTTTAATGACAGAACACGTACCTACTACTTATTAAAACACAATTTTAATACTGAATTATTTAACGTCAAAGTCAGAGCCTCCTTAGATGATAGACTTACTAATTTAATTTTCTGACAAATAAATGATAGCCTCATTAGAAAAACATTAAGACATAACATTACGTGTGATGATATTTCGATGATATTCCATTTTATGCACTTGTGAGACATCACTAGGCTGGAAATTTGATGCTCTTTTCAAAAATCGAAAAACCCAATATGGGGGCTGTATGAAAAATGAAAGTTGAGGCAGATTGCGGGAAACAAAAGACGATTGAGACATGTCATATACATTATCTTATGTGCCTTAAAAAAATGTCCGTATAATGTCACATTATGACAGCTGTCAAATTAACCGTTTCGGATTTACTGGCAATAAACAAAATTCGACATTTTCGGTTTTTCGCCGATATTTCCAAAACCAATTGACCGAACGTATAAATCTAAAATTGGCTATCGAATGCACTAAGTTTCCTCTGAAACTTTCCCCATTTAACCTTAGCTGTAGGTATAACATGAGCAGAGATCCCTGAATAGAAAAGCGAACCTGGGACACACTGTATGTTTTAATTCCCATATACTGTAAGACGTTTCGTCCCCCACGGTGGCCTTTTTCAAGTAAAATTACAATTATTGACAGTATATTATGTTTTTTGGAAACAGAAAGAATGCCGCGTGAATGGAGTGAGCCCAATGTTTAAAAAAGGGGATAAAAAAATCTGTGAAAACTATAGAGGGATAGCCCTATTGAATGTTGGATACAAAGTGCTAGCGACCTGTATTAATAGTAGACTTTCATCGAAAACCGGGCACAAGGGAAGAAGTCAAAGTAAGACAGGGGAAGGGAAATAGATGCTTATATAGCCTGAACCATCACCTAAAAAGCAAGTTGATAAGAATAAACTAAAAATTACATTATATCAAACAGTAATAAGACCATCATTTACATTTGCTTCTGAAACATGGATTTCGAGGAAGGCAGATATAAATACCCTAGAAGTGTGGGAAACAAAGGTATCAAGACAAATTTTTGGAGGGAAACAGAACAATGGGGTATGGGAATGAAGAACAAACCAAGACCTTGCAGATATGTATAAAGAATCAAGTATCACCGGATATATAAGACCAAAAGGTTGAAATGGTTAGGGCAAGCAAGGGCAAGCTTAGGTGTAACTGAAAATTCGTGTGTCAAAATAAGAAGAAATGTAAAGAAATTACAAATAAAGCCTTGGGCCTTTCAGGCCTGTAGAGCTATATATATAATGTTTTTTAATTCTACATTTAGCAGGTTTCGATGTTTCACCAATGTAGTATTTACTGCAGTCATAGCCTATTTTATTATATTGAGTTGTGCTCCCCTCCCCCCTGGGAATCAAGGTTGTTTCTTAGTTTTTTTCTCACAAGACAAGCAATATGGGTTCCTTTAGATGTCGAAGTACTATTTCTCGCATTTCAGATCCATGAGCGGTGCTCATGCACCGTCAGTAGTTGAAGCTCCGGAGTGGGTTTTTTGCATTCTCAGAGGGCGTCTCGCTTTTTCGGGGCGATGGGCGAATATGTCGTGTCTGGTACATTAAAAAGCGACAGATCAGCTCACTCCACCTTGCCGCTTTTTTGGGAGGGCTGGATGTGGAGGAACGGATATGCCTACCTCAAGGATCCTGGTTTCTCTGGTTTTAACCGGTGCCATCTTACAGTTGTAATCATGGCTTCGCCCAGGACAGTTCAATCTATGGTCGCAACATGCTGTATAGCGATGAAACGAAGAAAACATAAATTAACTGTCAACAGGAATACAGGCAAACAAAAATATACTGTAATTATTGTAAATGTACTTGAAAAACGCCACTGCAATAAATGTGGTTTGGGAAATTTTATACATATAAACCGATACACCGCGAAGCAGCGAAACAAAATCGTCAAATCTTATTTTTGATGCCCGGCGTATTTTGCCAATTTTGTGTCTAGGTCTGGGAAATATCGAGTGAATATATTGACAACATTAAGCTTACAGTACTTACTTTCCAAATAGCAATATGATCTGACTTCTCCAGCACAGCCTTATCATTAGGAGTTCTGGAATAACCTTCGATGTAATTTGTACCAATAGGGAAATGGATCAAATACAAATCAACATAATCCAACTGGAGATTTTCCAAAGACATTTTCATGAACATTTCAACCCTGTCTTCGTGTATACCGCAAATGGGTAGCTTGGTAGTGATGAACAGGTCCTCTCTTTTCAATCTTCCTGATGAGATCCATTCCTTCAGGACTTTGCCGATTATCTTTTCGTTGTCGTAGACGTAAGCGGTGTCGATGTGTCGATATCCGGCTTCTAGAGCGTGGTTCAGAGCAGAAGTAAGCTCTTCATCATTTGTAGCCTACGATATTGAAACAAGATGTTTTTCTCATAACTGCGGAAGCGACAAAAATATAGTCTAAATGCAAGACTAGACTTATTTTGATGATATCTATGTATATCTCATCTTCTTCAGTCTATATCTATATTTTGAGCCGTATTCTGCGTTGTAGTAGTATGCAATATCACTGGCCAGCAACCATAGTTTAAAAACATGTTTTTTATCGAGAGTATCCAACAGGTTACTCTACAGGATGGGCCAACAGTGTGTGGACGGAGCATTGCGCCTAGACGAAATCTTTCCACAAAAAACTATTTATGGATTGATGTACTTTTCTAAATGCACATTTTAAAAGCTAGCATTTCAGGATGTTTCATATGTTATTGTAACACGTGGCTCAAAATCGATGGATTGACAGGCTATCGAAGCTCAGTCTTTCTGTACATTGATTAACTTATATTAACTCGGCTACTAATAATCAAGATAACTTTATATCAATGTTAAAAACAAAATTGGCTATTTGAATATGAAGTGGAATATGGAACATACCGTTTAAAAAGATATCTGGCTAAAATTTGAGGTACCATGAGTAATATTAAATATTTTTGGAACATGCTAATGGATGCATGGAATTGTTTCCATATATGTTCATGAGCTGCTTATTTACACCTTATAAGCCATATGATAGCTGTTAAGTGACGACTAAGTATAAATGACGACTAATTGATCAATTTATAGCCAAAAGAGGCTTAAACACAAGCATTTATCACTTGATCGAAATCAGTATTGAATGATTACTAAGCAATTATTTTATTGATATAAGACTTATCTATACAAAAATATTCATTGGTTGAAGCTGTAGGAAAACTGCTACTAAAGTAAGAAACTTCATTTTTGTTCAGATATTTGTTTATTCAAAGTACAAGCATGGTAAAAACCACTTGAGGATCTCGTATTTATATAAAAAAATGAAAAGCTTTCAAGTATCTGAATGTAAATAGATAATTTAAGAGATAATTATAGCTACAATGAAGTGCATTTTCTTAAGCGTACAAAAACAGAAGTAATATTGGGTTATTTTATTGTCGAACTGGTTTGTCTAGGATAAGTATTGAGCTGGACCTTTAATGATGTAGCCAAAAGATGCTTAAACACAAGCATTTATAGTGATAAATGCTTGTGTGTGCAAGTGTGATCCAAATCAGTATTGAAGGATTACTAAGCAATTATTTTATTAATATAAGACTTATATATACAAAAATATTCATTGGTTAAAGCTGTAGGAAAACTGCTACTAAAGTAGCAACAACAAGAAACACATACCTGCCAAGTTCCAAGGCCTATAATAGGCATTTTACCTCCGCCTACTACATTGAGAAACTTCATTTTTGTTCAGATATTCGTTTATTCAAAGTACAAGTAAGGTTAAAACCAATTTAGGCTCTCGTATTTATATAAACAAATGCAAAGCTTTCAAGTATCTGAATGTAAATAGATAAAATCATAGTCACAGTTTGTTTTCAACTATCGTTGTGTAATGCAATTTAATGCAATTTTAGAGATAATTATAGTTGCAATGAAGTGCATTTTCATAGGCGTACAAAAACAAGTAATATTGGGGGATTTTACAGTGGAACTGGTTTGTCTATTATCTAGGATAAGTATTGAGCTGGATCTTCAAATATGTAGCGGACAGATAAAAACTAACTTTTGTCAAATAAAATACGTTAGTAAGTCGAAGATAGGTTGTTTAAAGGTATCCTAAGCAGGCTATTTTCAATTAAATACGCAAACCGGCAATCGGTAATCTTGGAGTTGTTTTTTTATCTGGCGACTGACGAGTTGTGTTTCTGTTATTAGGGTTCTCAAAGGCTCAAATAAAGACTCGCTAAGTAGCAGCGCTTCCGAGATATTGGAGCGAAAAGTTTGATGAAAAATGTTGTTTTCTCAAACAAGGATCAGTAAATTAATAAATGTTTATGGAAGGTCTGATAGGTCACATATGTTAGATTAAAAAAGCGCAGATATTTCGAACAGAGTACTTTTAGCTATCGGTGTTGGTGAAGCTCCACGATACACCAAAAAGAGTATTACTCACAGTATTTGCCCTAGGAAAACAAAAAAATATACTTTTTATTTTTAATGAGAAAACACTATTTACTATGATGTGAGGTCATACAAATTGTAAACAAAGAAACGTCATCCATATGTAACTTGTGAGCTAACGTTGTCTTATTTGAATAATCCTAAGAGACTCCTAATTAACGTAAAAAGTTCTCATTTTATTGATCATGCTTATATCCGTAAAAGCAGAAAGCACAAATTTGCCTAAAATTGACACATTGATGGTTGGTGATTTTTTTGCTTTCAACCCAGATTTCTGCTCTACTGAGCTGATAAACATCAAGTCTTCTTTGTAAGTGCAGTGCATCTGATAATAATGATAGACATAGAAAGAAAGAATAAGTAAACCGGTTACATAATCTTCCTTTTCAAAAGTCATTGACAACTAAGCTCATGCTTCATAACCTCTGAATAAGCGAGACGATAAAATCTACACAGTAAAAAGAAGTATGCTCCAAACAATACATAGTCTTGGGTATATTTATTTCCCTTAGAACTCTAATCCACAGCTTTCCTGGGGTCTTTATTAATCTGTTTTCACATTTTCGGACGATATTTTCATGTAATCTAGTAGAAGTTTATGTTGCTGTCAACTGCTGTTTACAAATTTTATGACATCAGAGATCATTAATATGTCACCGGTCCAAGAAATACTTTTGAATTAAAGTTTTACAGTCGTAAAAAATGTAATGTTGATTGTTCACAAGTATTATCTATTTAAGGCCTACTTAAACATACTGCCAACTAGCCTATTGGATGCCATCATATTCTGCGTCCCCAGGTATTTTACCAGAAATTGGTCTGGCACGATAAAATGCCCACACATAAAGTGCTTTCACCCTTAATTATATGCGAATATTTAAGGGTGGGAATCTACATGATGATACTTAGTATGTAGTGAAAGTTGCATATTTTTCAATGCAAAAATTATATTTAGCTTTAACAGTGGCGTGCGTACGGTATTGACTTCGATATTTTTTAAAGACAAAAATAATACGCCAATGGTTTTTAAAAAATTAAAATTATTTTTGATTTTACCGTGCAATTTGTAACAAATGATCTCTCTTGAATTGTTTTCCTTCGATGCGCCATTTTTGAGTAAAAAAATAAAAACCGTTCTATTGTCTAACGTGCAAAATTATCATTACTTTAATTGGAGAAATTAAACACATTAGGGCCCACTTCACTTAGTATATATGCTTTCGCCCTCCTTCTCATGGAATTGCGCTCTCGTTGAAATATCCCTGGAGTGTTTTTTATTTTATCACAGGCTGCAACTATTCTTTCTCTTAATTCCTCTACAGTGTTAATGGGACTTGTGTATACTAGTGTCTTAAGATAGCCAAACAAAAAGAAATCCAAACTATTGAGGTCTGGGGACCTTGGTGGCCATTCTTGGGGCCCACCGCGGCCAATCCAACGATTTGGATAAACAGTTTGTAACTAATTAAGAACCGCTACACTGAAATGCGCTGGTGTACCATCATGCATGTACCACATATTGTTTCTTATTACTAACGGAGCATCATCAAGCAGCAAAGGCAACAAAGGAAATTGAAGGAAGTCTGTCCGTCAAGTCGCCCCGGTAAGAAGAATGGGCCAATAAAGTTGTTGTCAATAATTCCTGCCCATACGTTAACCGAAAATTGCTGTTGGAAATGGGTTTCGGTTACGGCGTAGAAATTTTCTTCTGCCCACAAATGATTATTGTGGAAATTCTGAATGGCATTTCGAGAAAAATTACCTTCGTCCGTGAACAGAATCATTGATTCAAATTGCGGATTTTGTGTAATTTTTTGAAGATACCACTGACAAAAGGTCACACGCCTTGGAAAATCAATAGGTAGTAACGCGTGTACTCTTAAAATATGGTAAGGATATAACAAAAAAGCCACTAAAATTTTCCAAACAATTTGATGGCAAATATTTAAGTGTCTAGCGATCTTTCTCGTACCCGTTTCAGGATGTTCTTCGACTTCGTGCAGCACTGCTTCCTCAATTTCAGGTGTTCTCACACAGAGGTCTACCTTCAGATGTTCCTTTTCGGACAGAACCAGTTTCAACAAGACGACGATAAATATTAGAAAAGGTTCGACTATCTGGCAAAGCACGATCGGGATATCTCTGGTGATAAATCCGTCTGGATTGCTCACCATTACCGTCGGCAAGGCCATATGCGTAATGCATTTCCGCCATTTCTGCATTTAAATAAGTCACCATTATTAACAAGATTGTAAAAACTAAATAATTAAAAAGATGTCACAGCGAACAGATTTGAATAACAGAGACTTGTCAGATGTCAAAAGCCAGTGACATACTCCAGAGCACTTAGATATTTATTGCTAAATTGCATTCTTCAATTATTACATTAATTTTCTCGGACAATAGAACGGTTTTTATGTTTTTACTCAAGAATGGCTCATCGAAGGAAAGCAACTCAAGAGAGATCATTTGTTTTAAATTGACGTACCATTTTTTTCTTAAAAAATATCGAAGTCAATATATATTTTTTTTTCAGATAATGATTGTAGAAGATAAACCAAAATATGTGTGTAAAAATAAAAAAAAAATTAAAAAAATGTTACCTTGTTTTATAAAGTATCCTCCCGACAAGTATTTCAGTGCGGACCTGTATTTGATCGTGCGGTCTTGGAGCACCGGCATGCTCTCCCCTGTGAGGTCTTAAGTCACCTGATTCACGAGCCCTTTGTACTATATTAACAAAGGCACGAGAGGTTGGTTGCACTCGATTGGTAAACCGATCCGCATAAATCCGTGATGCCGCGGCAGCATTTTGTAAAGGGCGATTCTCAAACTTCTAAAGGGCTATAACTTTGTTACTTTAATTTTACCACAAAAATGTTAAAGGAAAAAAACATTTCTTTTGATCAGATCTACTCACTGTTAAAATAAATGACTCAACTTCGAAGTCACCCTGTATAATATAACGATTTTTCTCAACTCAGGAAATAACATAAAGGTGTTTGCAGGTTTTGATTCACTCTGAGCCATACGGTGTCACCCTTATCGTTGGCGCTTGGAATTACCCGATTATGCTAGTTCTGATCCCTTTAGCTGGAGCAATAGCCGCTGGTAATGTTGCAGTTATCAAGCCATCCGAAGTAGCTCCTCATACTGCCGAACTACTCCAGGAGCTTATCCCCAAGTATTTGGATCAAGAGTTTTATAAAGTAAGTCGAATGCAATATTGTCATCAGGCAAAAAATATTGCAGTACGGGATAATATTGTCGCATATTCTCTAGTGATTGAGTATGTGCTGGGTCCTGAACTTGTAAAAGTGATCAGACTCATACTGACGTGCTTAGGTAAATGGCGGTAAAGTGTAAAAATCGAAGTCTGAGAAAAGTTCAAAATTCTGGATTATTTCGAACTTAATAAATAGTATTATTACGACTCAACAACCGTGAATGAATGTTGCAAAGTTACATGACTTTACAGACAGTAATTTAAATGTGACTTTTATCATAAATGTTGTTGATGCCTGAAATAAAGGATATTCCGTTTGTAATTGTCGTAAATCAAAAATCAAGTGATTTATTGATTTTATACTATGCAAAAACAAATTTACTGTATTTTTTGTAGTTTTCATAATCTATTTATATTATTCTTTCAAAGGAAAAACGCAGTAATGCAGAATTTTATTTTATTATAATTTGTGCATATTGAAATTCACATAAGTAGCTCAAAAGTAAATCTTTTCAATATATAATAATTCAATTTAATAATTGATATAATTATGTATAATAATTACATTCAGACATATGAATAATTGATCGGACAAACAAAATTTTGTTCAAATTAAATTTGCAACCTTTGCAAGAATTTCGTTAATTTTTAGAATTGAAAATGTCTGTTGTTATAAAGGGTGTAACTAAAAGGTGCATTTTGGCCTAAATTTCTGAACACCCTGTGGAAACATTGGATTACTGAATAATGTGTCTTCGTACGAGAACTTTAAGCCTCAACTTTGCTCAACAGTTCTTTTTTTTGATTCATGTCAATATCTCGATTATTGAAGAATATATGGTGTTTTGACGAAAATCATGCGAATCATAGCCTTAAACAAGAAATTATTTCAAGCAGGCTTTGCCGGCTGTGTCTGTTAAAATTTTTATGACACGTCAACCAGATTCTTGTCAAGCAATACTCAATGAAAATGACACCGAAACAAGTAGCGCAAGCTGTAGCTTTGCAAGATGATGGTCGTCTTATTCGGTGTATCGCACAAGGGTTACCATTCCACGCAGTACGGTATTCGATGTGCTACAGAGATTTAGAGAAACTGGTTCTTACGTAAGAAGACCTGGGCCGGAAAGACGGAAAGCAAAAAACGCAGTTCGGTTTATGAGACTTCAAGCTCTTCGATAAAGGACAGTTCCTGCTACAGCTTTGACTCGAAGATTGGATGATGTTCATGGTACCATAGTTTCACCTGATACTGTATGCCGAAGGTTGAGAGAAGGAAACCTATCTTCTTGTGTACCTGTCCTCTATTGGATGTAGATCATCGAAGGCAGCGCTTGGTATTTTCTGGAATTTATGCAGATTGGGATATGGACGACTGGAAAAACGTTCTTTTTACAGACGAGACTCGTTTTACGAGATATTCACCTGATGGTCGCCAAAGAGTGTGGATAAGGCGTGGACAATGCTATGCTCAAAGTTGTTTCGCTCCTAGAGTGCAATTTGGTGGTGGAGGAGCGATGGTATGGGGCGGTATTCCTTTGGAATCCCGCACAGATCTTGTTTCGCTACGAGGAGGATACCTTAGGCCCGTATCGTCAGTCGTCCCTACAATTGTAGGGCGCGTTTATGGCCTCCTTGATTGTCATCCTCCTTTCTCTCCTTCAAAAATTTCTAGATTACACTTGTCCCGTGTCAGCGTCAGCGCTCTCCTATTGCGAAGATATGTTTTCTTTTTAAATTGTAGGAAATTTCAGGCTGATAAAACATGATATAACTCAAAAGCAAGCACAATTTGATGCAAATAGATGTTTATGACATAACCTCAAAAATAGAGTTCTGACACGGAGAAGCAGAAAACTATGACAATCAAGGAGGCCATAAAGAGATAAAACATCTGCGAAAAACTACCGTCCTATCAGTCTTGTGCCTATAGCTGCGAAAATAGCCGAAAAGATCGTCCAGGAACATCTTATGACATTTGCGTTCAAGAACAACCTGCTGCCTAGCAACCAACATGGTTTTATTCCTGGTAGATCAATTATCGCCAACATGTTACACTGCATTGACAATTGGACCAGATCTTTAGACGCAAATGAACCGGTCGACGTGGTTTTTCTGGATTTTTCCAGAGCTTTCGATCGAGTTCCGCATAAAAGGCTCCTGCACAAGCTTGAACATCTCGGAATCAGGGGAAATTTGTTGTTATGGATTGAAGCTTTTTTGTTAGACAGATCTTTCTCCGTCCGTGTTGGAGACGCCTATTCTTCTAGTCATCGTGTTACTAGTGGAGTTCCACAAGGATCTGTGCTAGGGCCAATACTTTTTCTTCTTTATACAAGCGACCTTCCCACCCGACTTTATTCTATGTGTTCCATCTATGCAGATGATACTAAAGTCTATAACACTGTCATGAACTCATCTGTGCTTCAAGAAGACCTCAAGCTGATCAGAAAGTGGTCAGAACTCTGGCTCCTGCCTTTAAATCTATCGAAATGCTACGTTCTCCACCTGGGAAAGAATAATCCTAACTTAACATATAAGATCGGCAAACATACCTTAGAGACTGTTCTTTATCACACAGATCTTGGTCTGACAGTTAATGGCCGGCTCACCTGGTCGGAGCACATTCAGAACATAACCTCTAAGGCAAAGCGGTTGCTATATATGATGGAAAGGTCATTTAGCGGTTGCACCGTTAGTACCTCCTCCTTTTTGTACACAACTTTCGTACGACCCCTACTGGAGTTTGCTGGTCCGGTATGGGATTCAAATCTTGTTCGCGATAGCAGCTTATTAGAGGCCGTTCAGCGTCGTGCTACACGTATGCCATATGGCATACGTAGGCCAAGTTATGAAGACCGCCTCGACCTATATAACCTGCCTGCTTTTGCTGATAGAAGAGTACGAGGAGATCTCATCATCACTTTCAGAGCACTGCATAATTTGTTTGGTGTGGACATGCCGCATCTGTTTCGTCTGGCAACGAACAGTCTCAGAGGCCATAATTTCAAATTGCAGAAGGAAGCTTTTAGAACCTCTACTCGTCAGCGCTTCATCTCAAACCGGGTCTTCGATGCATGGAACAGTCTTCCATCTTATGTAGTGAACTCGGAATTCGTCAACAGTTTCAAAAACAATTACGATAGACACCGCTGTGCTTAACATATTGTTCCCATTCTGTATATGTCTACTTCAGAAGTGCTAAGATTGTCAAATTGTTATATTTCTTTTGTCTGTACACTATTATCCATTTTTGTGTTTGAGTTTATAGTATTTGTACTCAACTCAAATTTGTTGTTTAATAATAATAATAATAATAATAATAATAATAATAATAATAATAATAATAATAAAGGCGCCCTACAATTGTAGGGACGACTGACGATACGGGCCTTACTGCCGACAGGTACATTTGGAGGGAACATGTGGTTCCTCATATGCCCTTTATAGGAGAAAATTGTCTGCTAATGCAAGATAACGCTGGGCCGCACATAGCCAGAATAATGACTAGACAATACCTCAACGTTTCAAGTACTAGACTGGCCGCGAAGGAGTCCGGATCTCAACCCCATTGAGCACATGTGGGATACATTAGGAAGAACGCTTAGGCAGAAATATGGAGAATTTCAAACTGTGGCTGTGTTGGAACAGGCGCTGGTAAACGAGTGGGAGCAAATACCCCAAGGCACAATAGCTGGTTTAATTGAGTCTATGCCAGAGAGGATGAGAGCTTTCATTCAAGCCCATGAGGAAATACTCGTTTTTGATAAAAATTTCTAATTACCAATGATGTCACTGTAATTTTTCAAGTTAAATTGTTTATGACTATGATTCGCATAGTTTTCTTACCAATGTTGTCACTGTAATTTTTCAAATTAAATTGTTTATGGCTATGATCGGCAGTCGATAATGATGACAATGACATTACCTTCAACTTGACAAAATAATTAACGAAGTTGATGCAAAGGTTAAAAAGTTATTTCAAATTTAATTTGAGCAAAATTTTGTTTGTCCGGTTAGTTTTGCGTGGCAATGTATATTAGGCTAAACGAATAATTTTTTTTTAAATTATTCTTTCGGAGCTTAAATAATTATTTGTAACGATAAATTCCTACAAACAATAGAATACTACATAAAACATAAATACGAAAACATATTAGGTTATACAGAGTAAACAGGCAGTACTTATGCCTGTATCATACAGAGAATAAAACAGATACATTCATTGCAAATACATATTTGAGAAAAACTTAAAAAATATTCTAGTCCATTATTTGATTACCTCTAGAAGTGACTAATCTTGATCTATAAATGTTTTAATGTATTTCTTAATCACTCACATGTTTTTGAAACGTTTTATCGTCTTTGTTCGTGTTTTATTACGTCTAATTCTTTTTTGTTCTGATATTTGTATGTGTTGATGGAACACTTCTTAACCTGCCAAAGTGCACTCGACGATGCTATGTACCATATGGCTAATAATTCTATTCTATTCCAATGATATATTTTGGAATTGTAATCATATAATTGGCGTCTAAATTTAAAAAAGGCTGTACTTAGGTAAGGCAGTATAGTAAAGCATATGTAAATTATCAGATGCCCCAGCACCCGACTATGTTAGCTAGCCCTTCCCGTTTGAAGAATGACACAGTGTATCTTACTTAAAAAAATGATTCCTTGAAGGTATACTGCGGAGGGATCCCTGAAACTACTAGTTTATTGTCACAACGTTTCGATTATATTTTTTATACTGGGAACTGTCAAGTAGGCAAGATTATCCATGCTGCTGCTGCCAAACACTTGACGCCAGTTACACTGGAAATGGGTGGAAAATGTCCTGTTTTCATTGACCAGACAGCAGATGTTGAAATGGTTGCTAGAAGAGTATTATTTGGCAGGTAATAATAAATGCCCACGGATTTTTATGCCTTAGGGCGGTAAAGCACCTTTAATATCCGCTATGTATACATTATTCTATATATGTGCGTATCCTAGTGCTACCTACGGTCAATTTTGAAAATTCCGGAAGTTTTGCAAGTTTTTGATGTTCTAAATTTTTGAGAATCGTTTCAGCTTCGCAAATTTTGAAAATTTTCCAAATTTTAAATATCTGTGATGACAACTGACTGTAAGACTACTGTGAAATTCAAATTTTAAGTCTTCCCATGAACGTTCCTCAAGGAAGCGTTGTTTGTTTGAAATCCAAAGAGAGAGCATTCCTCAAACCGCACTCAATCCTCAAGGAACGTCTATAAATGGGTATTTCTCAACAAATTTAGAAATTTCATTTTGCATATCTTGAAAAAATAGAAATATAGTTTTACTTTAGTGAGGTTTATTGACGGTCCTCCGGTCAATTTTGAAAATTCCGGAAGTTTTGCAAGTTTTTGATGTTCTAAATTTTTGAGAATCGTTTCAGCTTCGCAAATTTTGAAAATTTTCCAAATTTTAAATATCTGTGATGACAACTGACTGTAAGACTACTGTGAAATTCAAATTTTAAGTCTTCCCATGAACGTTCCTCAAGGAAGCGTTGTTTGTTTAAAATCCAAAGAGAGAGCATTCCTCAAACCGCACTCAATCCTCAAGGAACGTCTATAAATGGGTATTTCTCAACAAATTTAGAAATTTCATTTTGCATATCTTGAAAAAATAGAAATATAGTTTTACTTTAGTGAGGTTTATTGACGGTCCTCCGGTCAATTTTGAAAATTCCGGAAGTTTTGCAAGTTTTTGATGTTCTAAATTTTTGAGAATCGTTTCAGCTTCGCAAATTTTGAAAATTTTCCAAATTTTAAATATCTGTGATGACAACTGACTGTAAGACTACTGTGAAATTCAAATTTTAAGTCTTCCCATGAACGTTCCTCAAGGAAGCGTTGTTTGTTTAAAATCCAAAGAGAGAGCATTCCTCAAACCGCACTCAATCCTCAAGGAACGTCTATAAATGGGTATTTCTCAACAAATTTAGAAATTTCATTTTGCATATCTTGAAAAAATAGAAATATAGTTTTACTTTAGTGAGGTTTATTGACAATGAAGGTCCTCCATATTTTTGTGTATAACATGTAGAAAAATGACTTAAAAAACTATGAAATGAGGGAATGACTTATAGAATGGGGGAATGATTTTCACAACAATTTGATGGATACATTTCAATAAAAAACATGAGTTAATTTATTAATAGAAGTATTGAGATTTGTTTTATACTTTAGAGAGCTTAGATAGTCCTTCTTCCCTGGGCACATCCTCGTATTTTCATCCTTCTCTAAGAAATGAACAACATCACACTTAACTTTCAGCATTTTGGAGCTAACTTTATGAGTTCAGTTCTCTTTGTACGTATCGACTTGAAAAATGTTTCGATCTATATAACAATTTGTATCTTTTGTACTAATTGCAGCTTATACATTTTGTAATATTTTTTCTTTTCTCCATGTTTACATCCAAGATCTTCATAGATAGTCTTGAGGTCCGTTGACAGAGCTTCTCCGAAAATGAGTCTTTTTCTTATAACGTCAGGAACTTGTATATTATTTAAAAGCGAAGACATTTTAGTTGCTGGAGAGTTTGGGTCAGTATTTTTAGTTTTCAATCTCAAATACCTCTTCTTCAATTTTTCGCTAAGTTCCTTACTTTATTTTCCAAACTTTTAATCTTCGCGTACCGAATAGTTCGTCGCTTGCGCATTCTACGTCTATTGAGAGCAGACGAATTCTCTGCTCAGTGCTGTAAAGATGGTGCAGGACGTGGTGGGGCTGTTTCTTCAACTATTCTCTGTAAATTTGTTTGTAATGTAACTCGCTTTATCCTATAAGCTTTACTATTCTTTTTCCGTTGTCTTCGTTTTTGGCTAGTTTCTCCTGCACTTATAGAACTTATTGACTTAACTTGACTTCTTCTTTAAATACTTTAATCGTTCTTTTTCACGCAAAGCTTCTAAAGATTCAGCATTAATTTTCATTTGTTTTTCGCCTCTTTCTGTCCTGCTTCTTTTTTAATTTCTTTTCTTCTTCACTTAACTTCTTTATTTACCTCATTCTTGATATACGGATATCTGTTAAAATTGTAAACACATACTATACAACCTGGAGTTAAACAATAACACCCAAACCACAATTTTATATATGCAAAAATCATTCCCTCATAATTTTTATTGCCTGACTTTCTAATCTAGTGAGGGAATGACCGCGAGGGAATGACGGATTTGCATAAACAACACCGCAACCAACAGTACATCACCTCAAATTGATTTAGCTTATTGTTAATGCATTTTACTCCCCAAACCAAGAAAAAAATCATTAAAGCATTCGAACAGTATAATGACTTACATTTTAATATAAACAGTGACGTAATGACACAGAGAAGTGTAATGTTCTAATTATTGAAATCCAATACTTTTTTGCAGCAACTCTTTTCACTATTAAGAAATTTCGCCATGTTGGCATTATTGGCAGTAATGCCAAGTTAACATAACAGCTGCGTTTAAAAATATCAAATGGTGTGACCACAAATCGAATATTTATAATGGGTGAGGGAATGATTTCATTTCAAGGGACATAGTTTAAACAGATTTTTTATATGCATATTTATTTTTTAGCAATGAAAACTTGACTACACTTATTACCATATATTTTAGTAATATTCAATTTATAAGAATATGAACGGATTTGATTGTTTATATTTTTTTTATTAATTTCAAAAATGGGGTGTAAATGTGCCGCTTTTTGAGGTTTTTCTATAATTCTAAAAAAATTATCAAAAGTATTTCAAATTACATGGAAGGAATAAAATATGGAATACTTCCTGCTTGTATTACAGTATAAAAAAATCTTTCATATTGCTTCTGAATTGGCAAAAAAAAATTGTTTCTGGCTTTTGGGGTGAGTATGTGCCACAACAGTTTTCAATGCATATCTTATAGAATAAGCGACGTGGCACATTCTCAGCATAATATTTCAAACGAATAAATATAGAGATTGAATCAGTTACGTGCTAAATCATTTAAAAAAATTTATTTTGTCAAATTTAAGTAACATACAACTGTTTTATAATAATAGTATCTAATTAAGATAATTCAGGAACTTTAAATATTTCCCTCTTTGATATTTGAGACGGTTTATTAATTTTCTTTTTAATATCCTCATAACAGTACCAAATGGAATCTGGTTTAAGAGGCCACTTCCAGTTTCCACCACATTTTTCCATTGCAGAAATTAAAGCTGTATTATCTGCAACTTCTTTTACTTGACCTGGATAGAGTTGGTTTTCGTACATAACTAGTACATAGTCACCTTCATTTACTTCATCTTTTTACACGTTTGTTTCATTTGTTTGAATGGGTTCCATAATTGTATCTGATTCGTCACTTATACGACTTAAATAAGGCGAATAAGCGCTTTGATCACTTTCTGCATATGAAACATGTCCTGTGCTTTCATCATCACTATCTGATGGGTTACTATGCTTCCTAAATCGTCGAGAAGGATTATATTGCTCACGTGTCTGCCCTGATGAAGTTGAAGGTTGTTCCAAGTCCATTGGTGTGTTACTATTATTTTGCGAATTGACGTGAGAAGCCGTGATACTTTTCCCGGGAGGAATGTTAATTTTTCTTCTTTTCTTGTTTGTTCTTGTAGAAGTTATGATCTGTCTTTTTAAATTCAGGTTTTTAATAAAGGTTTCACTAAGGAGGGATTTTACTTCAGGTCAGTCTTCAATATTATGCATGGGCAGCCTTTGTAATACTTCATGTCGATTTAAAGGAGCAATACCGCATTTATGAAAGCCAGCCTTGAGGTTTTTAGCACAATTTTCTTTTAAAATCCGTACGAGTTGTTTCAAAAGACCCGGAAATTCATCTTTAGGCACTGTCATGCATCGACTATTTCGAACATTTTCTTTACATTCATTTAAAACCTTTCGCCATGCAAACTTAACAGGCCTAAAGAATGCTACATCTAAAGGCTGCAGGAGGTAGGTAGCATTGGGTGGCAAACAAATAAAGGAAATGTTATGTTCATGACAAAGATCGATCACTTTCGCATTTATATGTGAAGTTAAGTTATCGCCCAAAATAATTTTCTTACCTGGTTGTTTTCTTAAAATGGGGAGCATTAATGTTACAAACCAGTCTTTAAAACATTGAAAATCAAACCACCCTGGTTTTGTGCGATTGTAGCGTGTCTTCTCAGGGCCATTCTCGGTCCAACTTTCCCACATCTCTTCAGCTTTATAAACAACATAAACAGGTGCGAGTTCACCACTCGTGCTTCCACACATCATTATTGATGTATTCGATTTTGATTAATTCTTCATATTTTCAGGGTATTTGCATCCTCTTTTAACAAGGACCTTAGACATGCCTGGATCATCCACTAAACATGTCTCGTCATAGTTCCAGATATTCGCTGCAGGAACATTTTCAATTCATCTTTCCAGGTGGTCAAAAAAGTCATTTATCACATCTTCATTAATAGAAGCTCGAATGTAGGTAATATTTCTGGCAGCACGATTAGAAATTTGTTGTGCATGCCTTTTTACAAAACAATTTGCCCATTCAGTACCGGGCAAGTTATTCTTAAATTTCTCAACTGTTCTGCCTTGCTTATCTAAAAAACTCTTAACAATGAATCGCAATTCTCGTTTGTTCACGGGAAATCTATAACTAGATAAAGTGAGGATGTGGGCCACGATAACTGATTCCTCATCTTCAGTCAAGACAGTCTGTCCTCCAGTCTTTTTGGTAGCTTTGCCCTTTAATTTGTTACTTAGTACGTTTCGGTGAATGCCATACTTCTTAGCTGCTCCACGAACAGAAATTCTTTTCGCTCTAATTTCATCCAAAATTCGTGCCAGTGTTTCTGGACGATTGTTTCGGTAATGCCTAGTTCCAAATTTTCTTACATATTGACGCAGCATTCTGAAAAAAATGTATATTTTGTGGAATCTGCTAAATCTGGTCTTCATAATGTGGGGCGAGAATGTGGCACAATCTCACCCCAGATATTTGCATTATAACCTAAATTTTTTTGTAAATCAAAAAAACAAATTAAATAACTAATTATCTCAAAAATATATTCAAGCTAAATAAATTGCTAATTGAAATTACTTACCTGAATACTTTAATTTTTTACACACTTATCGCAACACTACAAAGTTTACAGCCTAATCGATTTTCGTTAAAAAACGTGGCAAAGTTGACGAGTGCACTGGAAAGAAGCGGTCGATGCGGTGCGCTTCGCAATAGCGCCACAAGATGTCGCAAGTAATATTAGGCTCGCAGTAAATATAGGAATTTGAATAAATATGAATTCTAAGGTAGAAAATTTAAAGATGTGCAGAAAAACATTGTGGCACATTCTCACCATGGGGGGCACATTTTCACCCCATTTTACGGTATCTAAATTTTTTCTTACTGATGATACTTATTGATATAATAAAAATGTTACATTGATGATAAATCCATACAACTCAGCATCAATGACTCAGGACATGAATTTCGAAATTTGCTGAGAAATACCCAAGTAAGAACCATAAGTTGGAAAATGTATGGACCCATGTACATATTTTTTACAGGCTTTTGAACGCTGGTCAGAGTTGCATTGCACCTGACTACATACTTTGTGATAAATTGACCGAACAGAAATTTGTGTCGGCTGCAAAGAAAATAATCAAGGAATGGTATGGAGAAAATGCTAAAGACTCGCCCTGCTATGGCAGGATAATCAACGAAAGACACTTTAACAGGATCATCAAACTGCTGGAAGGTAAGTGATCTAATTGAAGTTTTCCAAGAGATTAAATAAAATTCGGCACTGAGGGCTGCTCCAAAACTGCCCTGACAAAAATCACCTTTTCCCCCGATTTTTTGAAATGTAGTATGGCGTTTTGAGAATGACTGCAATCAAGAGACGCCATTGTAGAAAAAGTGTTGATAAGTACGTGCAAATACAGTGCTTTTGAAAAAGATAATAATGATATAATAATAAAGTTTAGCGTAAGCTATTACCCCATATAAAAATAAATACAAACATGAACAGAAGAGATAAATGACAACAAGAGTGATAATATAACAAAAGTATTATACATACGAGTATTCAATGTAATTATCCTGATGAATGAATAAATACGATTTTTATTAGCAGAAGTCAAAGATACGTATACTAAGTGACATATAAATCCGAACACCCAGTTTAAATGGTTTTATTTTAATAAAATTTTGTATAAGTACTTAATGAAGCATAATAAGTAAATGATAAAAATTTCAAAATGATTGCACTGCTTTAAAGCCCTTTGACCTTTAATAATGTTTGGATGCACCCTGATGTGCTACGCATTCTCCAACGCGCCTAGGCATGCTTCTGATCAGGTGGTCAATGTCCTCCTGTGGTATCTCATTCCAGGCAACCACCAACTCCTCTCGAAGTGCTTCTAGAGTCTGAGGAGGACGTTGCAAATTGAGCAATCTCCTACCCATCATATCCCACACGTGCTCAATTGGGGATAAGTCGGGAGATCTTGGTGGCCATCGTAACAATGTGACATCATTATGTTGAAAGAAGTCTATTGTGACTCTTGCAACATGTGGTCGGGCATTATCTTGTTGGAAAGTTGGATCTGCCAGGGTGTCAAGATAGGGTAAAAGATGGGGTTCTAGAACTTCGTGGATATAACGCTGCGCGTTCATGTTACCTCTGATGAAGATTAAAGGTGACCTGGAACCATAAGCTATAGCACCCCAAACCATAACTCCAACAGTGTGATGAACATGTATTTCAACAAAAAAACTGTGGATTCCTCCTTTCACCACGTCGCCTTCTAACCCTGGCACGACCATCCTGCATGCCTAAACAAAATCGAGACTCGTCACTAAAGACAATACTGTTCCATTCCTGATCCCAGAGTGACCGTTGTCTGCACCACTCAAGGCGATTACGTCGGTGTTCTCGAGTTAAAGGGAGGACCCAGTGTGGCCGGTATGAAAACAAGCCAAAACTTCTCATTCGTCGGTAAACACTTCGCATGCCAATAGGTCTTCCGTGTTCTGCAAACCATTCATTTGCAATGGACCTGGTAGTGGAGAAACGGTCCCTTCTGTTGTTCTACGGCGGCGTCCAGTGCCCCTTGCTCTTTGGGTACGGCCTTCTCGAAGCCATGCCTGACAACACCTAACCACAGTATCTACACTTCTTTGCACTCTAACTGCAATTGCCCGAAAAGAAAGTCCAGCTTCCCGAAGTCCCACTATACGGCCCCTATCAAACTCACTAAGTTGACGAAATCGTACAGGTCTCCGTACTCTAGGCATCGTAATCGATCGTAAAGGATGTCAAGAACCAAAATCCGCCATGGGTTAAGTTGAAAAACGCTTTTTAGCGACACTTCGCCTTTTTATACTTTGTATAAATAAAGCCGGATTATTATTATTATTATTAATATTGTTATGTTCAAGGTCTGGAGACTTGGTTCACCTCAAATGCCGCTTGAGCGAAACTATTGTTTGGCATAAGAGATTTGTTAGGTGTCTCAGAAAACACGCTCCGCCAGCCGCGAGTCTGAGCCTTCTATAATTTAGCCGGCGCAGAGGTAGACGCAATTTCATGTACTGTGAGCCGTCAATTGAGACACACCTAGACCATTATCTGCTGAAACAGACTTTATCCATCTATACATAGTGGGAACAGATGCACCAGGAGGCAGCGGTGGCCGCAGTAGTAGACTCTTCGGGGTCCTGATCAGTCGCCATGCGCTGTGTGGGTTCGAATCCCATCCCAAGAGAAATCTTTCTCTTGGCTATGGATGTTGTGATTGTCCGTAGCTGGTAGATGGTCTATGACTGTCGAACGCGGAGGTACCACCCGGCGGATCTCGTAGGCGGGGCCAGAATGTGTGCATGTTGCATGCACACGTGTTCCCTCGCCAGAGTCCGTGTGGCATTCCCCCTTTCCCCTGTATCCCCCTATAGCCCCATGGTACCCATGGGTGTTTAGGAATTTGGCCTTCGTGGTGGTTGGAGTATATAAAAAAAAATCTCAAGTGGGGCTTCGGCTTAGATGACCTCGGCATGTGAATGCCTTTCAAAAACCATCTTATGCCTGCATCGTTAATAGCATTTTGGTAAAAGACTCAAACAATTATATCTTAATGTCTTATAACACTGTAAGGTGAGAAATTTCAATGTAGAAAAACAGACATTTATTTCTTCCCGACAAAGGTCCTACCGTAATCTAAGCCCACAATAATATGATGGATTGTAGATGCTGTCCGGAATGACAGCTTTCCAGTGACGACAACCAGGATAAACTTCCTGTTGGTGGGAGCGGGATCCTGGGTCCCTCCATCAGATTTTCACGTTACTTCTATATAGAAGCGAAATTTCAGGGACGCCGCACACATGAACCAAAATCAGGACGGTGAGACGTGTAGCTCCCACTCCTCTTCCACTTCCCACTTTTGCTCTGACCAGCGAATGTCCCAGCCCTAGAAATTATACAACTAAAAAGGTAGACCTTGAGTTATGTTAGTGGCATATAACGACTTGACGAATGTTTGACTGATTATGGTGACTATGTTAAAATATGAAAAAATGCTCATTCTTTCTATACCGAAGCAGCCGCATAGGCAGAAGTCTTAATGCCAGGACACCGCGGCTGCTATGAGGATCCCAAAGAAATCTTGTTACTCCGATTTTTGAACTGCCTAAGGCTAGTAGAATTGGGAAAAACTTCCGCTTGTAGATTATTCCGCGATCTCGACACCCTCGGTACAAAGGAGCGGTGGTATCGACAACAAGACATGGCTAGGGTGGGACGCCGGAGTCAAGCGGGTCTGTCTGAGGAGCAAAGCCAGTTAGTGTAGCGGTAGAAGACAGCTAGACAGCCGATGGCCCGCCGGTGCAAAAGAGTTCCGAGACTGTCTATTAGAGAAGAGTCATCGATCAGTCGAACAGATCTCATCTGGACAGCATAGAGCATAAATAATGTAGTCGGGGCGGCAGCACCACAAACGTGTGAGCAATTCTCGAGGCTAGGCCCTATCTGGGCCTTGTATAAATTGAGAAGGTATTGCGGAGAAAATTACTTCTTAGCCATAAATAAATAGCATAGCTTTTTCCCCTATTGACAAGATGTTTTCGTGCCAGATCAAGTCCTCGGTGATCTGGACTCCAACCAAATGAACTGCTCTTTGGCAGAACTCGGCCATCCATCGAAACCGGATGAGCACTAGGACGCTTTTTGTTCGTCAAGGTACAGTACTGTGTTTTGAAAGCATTAAACTTTACAAGATTGCTGCGTCCCCAACCAGCGATAACCTCCAGGACTCTCGTCAGAGAGGAAGTCGTCGCTAGTCTTCTTTTTTCACTCTGAATTCCTGCATGTAGAGTGCTGTCAACAGCGAAGCTGTGAATTCGGTTGATCGTGCAGGAAAAGAGGTCGTTGATATGTAAGAGAAACAAATTTTATTTTCGATGTTGTTCTCACGAGTCCACCCTCCATCCGGTAATTCCGAGGGTGGAGTGAGTTCACGTGCGGACTTCTTAGTACTCGAGGGATTCATCTTGCTAAACTTCAGCAGACCTATAGAGATAGTGTTTTGTCAAGAGCCCATGTTTTTCGGTGGTTTAAAGCATTTTTAAAAGGGAGAGAGTCGATTGTAGTTGAACCATGAAGCCAAGAACAACTGGGTATTGCATCACGATAATGCTCCTTGGAGGCTAATTCGCCTGAGACTTGAATCCTTGTGACATTTTTCTTTTCCTAAAGTTGAAAAATCACCTCAATAGAACTCATTTTGGGACAACCGAAAACATTCAAGCGGCTGAAACCGACCAGCTGAAGGCTATTCCACTATCGGCGTCCCAGTACTGCTATGAGGAGTGGAAGAACCGTCGCCAACGCTGTGTGGCTTCAGAAGGGAGTTATTTTGAGGGTGACAATATAAAATTGTAATTATATTTGAATAAAAACATTGAAAAAATCAGTCTCATCACTTAATTTACAGACTCGTAAAACACAAAAGACAGTTTTTGTCCACATGGTATGAAATTCGATAAGCTGAATATTCTTAACTACCCACGTTACGCTGCGTTAAGTTAGGTTACGGAAAGAAATATTTCAAATTTCGAAATGTCACTGATTGTCTTATTTTTCCTCTTGCAGGTGCTAAAATAGCAATAGGTGGTTCGCACGACATCAACGATCTCTACATAGAACCGACCATCGTGACTGACGTTACTCCAACGCATCCCTTGATGCAAGAAGAGATCTTTGGTCCTATTCTTCCCATCTTTATAGTTGACAATGCCTCGTCCGCAATCGATTTCATCAACAAGCGTGAAAAGCCGTTGGCACTGTACCTGTTTTCTACGAGCAAAACCACCCACGCTCTGTTTTTGGAGTACACCTCCAGCGGGAATATGCTGATCAACGATACCTTGATGCACTTTTCTTGTGACACCATTCCTTTTGGAGGAGTTGGAAACAGTGGAATGGGAGGGTACCACGGGAAATACACCTTTGACACATTTTCACATCCCAAAGGAACGGTAAGTAGTCGTGCCATCAGACTTTGATTGTGATGAACTTTACTCATGTACTATTTCTCCATATACCTACCAACTTACAGAGAGCAGAAATATACTACATATAAAGTTGCGCGTAACAGAATACCTAATACCTTCATCCCGACATAGATAATTTCGCTTGATGACAAATAAACTGCTAACGCATCCGAGTCAGCCAAACAAAACATGTCTCCAAGAAAAGGTGGAGAAAAAGTCTTTGAGCCCTTTTCAGTCGGATGTTCGTAATGCCAAATTTTGACCATCGCAACACCGTAACACGAATTATCCAGGGGGACAAGAGAGCAGTGCTATAAGCGACAGGATGCGTGGTGACAAAGAAACCCAGCGGACTACTGGCGTGTGACGAAGCGCGAGGAAAGAAGTATTATAGCTAGCTAGGTACCCGTTTCTTAAGCAACGGGTTACGTGTTTGATGTTTTGGTTTCCAAAACATCCGCGAAAATTTCTTTGCTACATCTGAATTTTGAAGATAATAATAATAATCTATATTCCAAATTGTACAATGACATTACAAAAATTGTATAGCCACTACAAAATGAAATGTTGCGTCACTATCACCATAACTATAGTAGTTTACCTGGAATCTGTTTTTGTGTTACATGGTTATTTATTTTGAAACAGCTACTATCTTAAACTATTACAACTCCCATAGAACTCATCTATTGTATGAGGCTCTGACTGTACTAGAAATTGCTTAAGAGTCTCTTTAAATTTATGTAAACTGTTTATGTTTTCAATTTCATTTAGTAGATTGTTTTCTGTGGAGGACAATCTGTGTATCGGATAAGTAACATTGACTGTTCGAGTATCATAAACAGTTTGCACCTCAAGCTCAAATAAATTTTTATTTTTGAAAAAAATATGTCACTCACACACATAGATGGCATACGTAGTCATGATTTTTTCAGTTTTAAACACCCCCCAGCAAGTTTCATTGTAATTTAGTCCCTTTAGCAAACGTGCTGCTCTTTTTTGAACAACAAAATTTTTTTTAATAAACCTATTGCGCCCCCAAAAAATAATCCCATACTTTAGAACACTTTCAAAATTAGCATTAGATATCTTGATATTACCCTAAAACCATAGCAAATGGAATTGAGCCTCTTCAGCAGTTCGAATACATGTGTTGTCCAATCTAAAAATTCATCAACATAGATGCCTTTACGACTTTACTCTGCTTAGTTCTAAATAATGTTGCATCAGTTTTGGATTTATTCAGCACTAGTTTGTTCTCAGAAAACCATGTATTCACACTTCTGAATAAGAGATTCCCATTAGCAGTTAGGTCCTCTACACTTGTCCCACCCAACACTACATTTGTGTCATCAGCATAGCAGATAATTTTATGCTTGCTCTCATTACCACTACTCGTAGTAACAAAACAGAGATCGTTTAAAAAACTACAAACAAAATGGGCCCAAGTATACTACCCTGTGCTATGCCGGTTGAAGTCAACTCAATGTTTGACTTGTAAGTTTGACCTCCTTTAACAATTTCAACCCTTTGTTGTCTATTATAGAGGTACGACTTGAACAATTCCAGCGCAGTTTCTCTTACACTATATCTTTGTAGCTTTAATAACAATATGTCTCTGTCAATGCAATCATAAGCTTTGGACAAGTCCAGGTAGAAACCAACCGCTAAGTTTCCCTCATCTAATTGCTTAAGTACTGTTTGAACAAATTTTTTTTTTTTTTTTTTTTTTTTTTTTTTTTTTTTTTTAACGAGGGGGGAATGCATTTACGCACCATACCATAGCACGAGCTACGACGTGTGTGGGACTCCAGGGTCTTGAAGAGATCACCTAATACCCACTAAACCCTAAACCTCCGCGTGGCCCGACTCATCAGCGTCTCGGTAGGCCATGTGTTGTGCGTGACCTGCGGTCTGCTACAACGTCTCCTCATGTGTTTCAGTCTCTGGGAACGCCGGGTTGGTTCCCTTTACCTCGCACATTCTATCGATGTCGTTAAGCGATCATCGATAGAGGGTCTGCTAGTTTCTCTTGAAACTCTTGTTTTCGAAAAATCAAGAGTTTCAAGTCATCTTACCAATATGTTGTTCCTGGTCCTGGTCCTGAAGGGTCCTGGTCCTGGTGGGTCCTGGTCGTGGCGGGTCCTGGTTGGTCCTGGTCCCGGTGGGTCCTGGTCCCGGTGGTTCCTGGTCCTCTGCATCCACGCCGTGGGGGGGGGGGAGCAGCCGCAAATTCTCCTAGTCTCCTAGTCAAGGTTCCAGTTAGCGGGTGCCAACTGGGACCTTGGTCTGGGGTACCTGGTTCTGCGGTTGCGAGGCCTCTCGTCCGGATCGTAGTCCATGAGGAATCGTAGCTGCTCGTTCGGGTGGTCCTGAGCTTTCTCGAAGGTCTTCTCCGCTTTTTTCCTCATGTACTCGTGGATGGTATCCCAATGCAGGTCTCTACGCAAGGTTGAGTTCCTTACGTAGGAAGGTGCATTGGTGGCGATCCGGAGTAGCTTCATCTCTAGAGCAGCAAGTCGCTTGCGGTAGCTGGGGGCAGCGTACCCCCAGACCGCGGAGGCGTAAGCGAGCTGAGGTCTGGCGATGGCCTTGATCAGCCGTAGCTTGGTCGCTAGCGGCATCTGGCTGTGTCTACCCAGTAATGGATAGAGTTGAGCCATGGCTGCTCTGGTTTTTGCGATGACAGCTTCTATGTGCGCTTTCCAGGTGAGGGACTTGTCAAAAACGATCCCCAGATATTTGACATTGTCGCTCCACTGGATATCTTCATCGAAGATGGATGCTTCGAGAGGTCTTGCAATCCTTCTTCGTTGAATGAAGATTGCCTGCGTCTTCTGGACGTTGATGCGGATTTTCCATTTCACGCACCAGTCCTGAATTTGGTCCAGTTCACCCTGTAGTCTCCTACGGATGATCTCGGGTCGTCTATGCTTGGCGGCTATAGCAGTGTCGTCTGCATATAGGGCCAGCATTGTGTCAGCTGTCTTCGGCACATCGTAAGTATAGATGTTGTAGAGCAGGGGGGCTAAGGCTGACCCCTGGGGCACGCCTGCTTCCAGCTGACGTCTTGTTGAATGGCATGTACCAATCTTCACCGTGAACCATCTTTGTGTTAGATAGCTCTGGATCAGTTGGCACATGTTCGCATCGATTCCGGCGGCTTCCATTTTGGCGATGAGTCCATCGTGCCAAACTCGGTCGAAGGCTCGTTCCACGTCCAGCAGGACGAGACCGGTTGCCTCCTGGAGATTGAAGCCGCTGGTGATGTTTTCCGTCAGTCGTAGCGCTTGGAGTTCCGTGTTGTGGGAGGATCTGAAGCCGAATTGCTCTGGGGGGAGAAGTTGCAGTTCTTCTGCCTGCTTCTCTAGTCGAACGGCGATAGCCTTTTCGACTACTTTGCCCACCGAGGAAACCAGGCTGATGGGCCGGTAGTTCTGGGGCAACTTCCGGTCCTTGCCTGGCTTGGTGAGCATTATAACCTGGGCTTCCCGCCACCGCCGCGGGAAGTGGTTAAGTCTCAGAGTGGCATTGGCGATGTTGGTGAGCGCAGCAATGCCTTTGGTGGGAAGGTTCTTCAGCATCCTATTGTTGATGCCGTCCCTTCCCGGCGCCTTTCTGACCTTCAACCTGCGGATGATCAGACGGATTTCCTCTGGACTGGAGGGGTGATCCGTCTCCTGGCCAGGTGGTCGACTCCTCATGTTTTCGGCTGCGACTTCCACGGCCTCCTCGTGGTTGTCGTCCTCGTCTTCATGGTAATTGAGTCTGCATTCGGATTCTAGCGAATCGGCGAATGCTTCGGCTTTTTCTTCACTGGAGTAGGCCAAGCCGCGTTGGCCGTGAAGAGTGGGGATCGTGGTGCGCTGACGACGAAATTTTCGCTGCATAGACCAGGCCGTACCATCCTGGGTCTCTAGTTCTGCACAGGCTGCATTCCATCTGTTGTTTTGGAGTTCCGCGAGTGCGTTCTTCAGAGCTAACGATGCTCTGTTTCGCGCAACTCTCGACTCCTCTGTCAACAGCTGGAGATGTTCTCGCTTGAGTCTTCTGTTCTCCCTGATCAGGTGCCTAATATGGTGCGGTGCTGGACCATTTAGGTATCTAGGAACTGCCGTAGTCTCGGAGCGGGTGCTGTCCTCGTGCGCTCGCAGGACAGCATTCTCCAGCTCCTCTACTGCGTTGTCCAGTTCCTCCGCTGATCGGATGGTTGGAATTTGAGTGATGTTCCTCTGGACGTTGGATTTGTAAAGGTTCCAGTTCGTCCGTTTGGTGCTCAAGCTATCTCGAGTTCTAGACCCTGTACCAAGTGTTAGTAGAATCGGATTGTGGTCCGACGATCCTTCCACCAGGGTCTCTATCTCGAACTCCTCTCTGATGTTGCGGAGGATGGCTATGTCCAGTACCGCAGGTCGCCCAAGGCCGAATGGAATGTAGGTTGGTTGCTCCGGACCGACGATGACCCCCGCCAGGGCATCGACGTGTTCCTGGAGCTGCCTTGCATTCCTGTCTTCGACGTTGTTGTTCCAAGCCGGAGACTTGCAGTTTAGATCTCCGATGACTATGCGTGCTCCTGGGCCTCTCAGGAGGTCCGCGATGTCATCTTCGTCTAGGGCCTCCCCTGGTGGCACATATAGGGAGGTGATTCTGTAGGGACGGTGGTTGTGATGGACCTGGACCGTGATTCCGTCCCCATTTATGTCTGCGGCATCGTCGAGGACATGACTCGTCAAGGTACGTTTGACGAGTAATGCGACTCCTCCACCTCTGCCCCTTCTGTCGTAGCGGTACGTCTCGTACCGCGGGAACGTCAGACTATGGGCAGCATCCAACTTCGTTTCTTGGATGGCCATCTCCTCTGGTTGGTACTGGTCTAGTATCTCCTGGATTTCTGGTTTCCGTGCCCTGAAACCATTGATGTTCCAGGAGATAATGCGTAGAGATTCTACGTTTTGACCTGTAGACATTTCGGGTCTAGTGCTTGTCTTGCATCTTGGCCTCGAGTGCATCCAGGCGGGTTATGATGGCTTGCATCATTGCTAGCAGTCTGTCATCGCCGTGTTGCTTCTGCGCAGTAGTTCCAGTAGCAGTGGCGGCTGCTGGGGCAGAAGTGGACATAGGCTTCTTCACTTTTTGGGCGTAAGAAGTCCTATTTGTGGTGGGGACTGCTTTGGGGGCAGAAGCAGCTTTCTTCGGCGCCTTACTACATCCCTTGTAGTTGGCGGGGTGGCCTTCTCCACAGAGGCAACACTTGGCGTTTCGTTGCCCTGTTGGCGGCGCTGGCAGACTGCAGCTGGTGCTGTTGTGGTCCTCTCCACATTTAACGCACCGTTCAGCGAGACGGCAGTTCCGCTGTGTGTGCCCGTACCGCTGGCAGCGGTAGCACTGGCTGGGCTCGGAAGACTTTTTCTTCCTCTCGAAGCTGACCGTGAGCATGGCCAGCCTCTGGATCTCTGCAAGCTTTTCCGGCATCTTCGTCTTGACGAGGAAGAGCGGAAGTGGCTTCTTTGTGGTCCTTGAGGTCAGCTGCTGAACCACGGCGTCTGCGATGCCTTGGCTCACCAGATCCTCTTTGATGTCATTGACTGACATCTCTCTCGGAAGCCCACGAATGACCCTCTGGTCCATCCTGTCCTCCTTCAGTTGATATGTGAAGAAGGGCCGCTTGATGGATTCAAGCAGTGCGACTAGCTGACGGTAGTCAGCTGGTGTATTTGTGAATACCTTCACACTGGTACCCGCCGTCCTCGCTTTGGAGAATTGAATCCCCTTGCTGTTCATCATCCTACTCAAGGATGACCAATCAGCGGTGCCCTCGATGTTGATTGGCGGAACTCCTGTTCCTGCCATGGGGGCCTCGGTGGTCCTGGTTGCTCTAGGACCACTCTTCTTTGTGGCAGCTGGCATCTTTCGCTGCCTGTGTTCTTCTTCTTCTTCGGAGGAGGAAACTCGCACCCGCTTCCTCCGTCTGGTGGCGACACTGAAATCGGTGTCGTCCGTCCTCTTCTCCGCTTCTTCTACGTCGATATTTTGGGCATCCATGTCCAAGTTCTCCGTAGGCTGCTGGTCCTCCTCTCCGTGGTCCTCTTCTTCTTCTTCTTCCTCCGTCTTCTTAGCTTTCCTCTTTGCTTTGAGGAGCTTCCTTTTCACCTCATCGATTTCATCCCTCGCCCGCTCAAATGCTTCTTGCAGATTTTTCATCTGCTCAGCAAGCATTGCAAAATTCTCTTCTTTCTGCTTCAGCTGGCTCGCCAGCTTCTCTACTTTCGCCATCGTGGATGGCGATCGTACCGCGATGAAAATCACAGTAGGATCGCACTGTATGTCCGGGTGGGTCGCAGTCGCACGAGTGTATGCTCGTGACGGCTGCTAGCTCGGAACGCTCGACTAACTCTGAACAAATTGGAAGATTGCAGTATCTGTTGATCTCCCATCTAGGTAACCATGCTGATATGTATTAAATAAGTTACAGTCATTCATAAATTCTAATAATCTCTTACTGATGCCTAACTCAAATAATTTTGAAAACCCCGTTAAAATATTGATTGGCCTATAATTTTCTAATTGCTCTGGGTTACCTTTTTTAAAATTGGTTTTTATTTTCAAATCCTCTGGGAATGATCCTTGTCTAAAAGCATAATTAATAAGTAATCACAAAACATGTTTTAAAACTGGAATGGAAAGTTTTACTATTGTTGTTGGAACTTCATCTATACCACAGCTGAATTTATTTTTTATCCTCATCGACAGTTCACACACTTCATCAACAGTCATTGGTCTTAAGTATAATGATTGGTCGTTTTCTTGTAAATTGCAGTCAAAAGGTACCTGTGTCACATCTTTCAGTAAAAGCGGAATTGCTGAAAGATGTGCCATACCCTCCCCCTAGACGCTCAGGCATCTAAAGAGAAATTCGTGTTTATTTTCAAAAAAAAAATTCAAACAATCAGATTGTAGTAACTGGAGAAAATGAAGAATCAATTGTACTATCAAGACGAATCTAAGGACAACTCAGATGTCAAAAACCATCAAGTCATTCAACATGTAGCCCGTATAATAGGAACTTCAAAGTTGAAAATTTTAATTAAAACCCCAAATTTGATTATATAAAACTAGTACACCTACCCAGTGTCATTCGCGCTGACAAGAAAAATATATAGACACCTCATATGTCAAAATCCATCAAACTGTAACTGTAGCCCGTGAAATAGCAATTTCAAGGTTAATTTCCTTTATTAAGCTGAAGAACATTCAATTTTCGATCGCCGGCAACAATAACTTGGTGTTGGTAACATCCCACTCAATTTCCTAAAAAGACAAAACTTCGTATCATTTATTTAAAATATTTCACAAGTTCACAAGTTCATGTGAAAACTATAGAAGCATTGCCCTGTTAGACACTGCTTATAAGATACTAGCATTTCAACTAAGGGACAGATTGAGCATATATGAAAATGAGGTTATAGGTGCATATCAGGGAGGTTTTAGAAGGGGCAGGTCCACAATAGACCAAATATTTACAATGAAACAGCTGTTCTATAATAGCTATGAACAAAATCTTGGTTTACACTCATTATTTATTGATTTCAAGCAAGCGTATGATTGCATTGACAGAGAAAAATTATATGAAGCTATGAGACTGCTAGGAATACCAAGTAAATTGATAAGGTTAGTCAAAATGACAATGAACGGAACAATGAATAAAGTCACATTGGAAGGGAAAACATCTAGAGCTTTTGGCGTAACATCGAGGCCTGAGACAGGGGGACCCGCTATCTATACTAAGTGACATATAAATCCGAACACCCAGTTTAAATGGTTTTATTTTAATAAAAGTTGGTGAATGCATTTATCTTACTGTAAATAACAAGTGAAAAAATGTTCAGCCTTATCAGTTGGACATTCCGGTTTTTATACTGCTTTTTTTTAATTCACTGACGCTCTAAAAATGAATATTTCAGCCGCAGTAAAGAATCAACGGTGGCGGATTTTGGTTCTTGACATCCTTTACGATCGGTTACGATGCCTAGAGTACGGAGACCTGTACGATTTCGTCAACTTAGTGAGTTTCATAAGGGCCGTATAGTGGGACTTCGGGAAGCTGGACTTTCTTTTCGGGCAATTGCAGTTAGAGTGCAAAGAAGTGCAGACACTGTGGTTAGGTGTTGTCAGGCATGGCTTCGAGAAGGCCGTACGCAAAGGGCAAGGGGCACTGGACACCGCCGTAGAACAACAGACCGTGAAGATCGCCGCCTAAGATTATTGGCCTTAAGGGACCGTTTCTCCACTACCAGGTCCATTGCAAATGAATGGTTTGCAGAACACGGAAGACCTATTGGCATGCGAAGTGTTTACCGACGAATGAGAAGTTTTGGCTTGTTTTCATACCGGCCACACTAGGTCCTCCCTTTAACTCGAGAACACCGACGTAATCGCCATGAGTGGTGCAGACAACGGTCACTCTGGGATCAGGAATGGAACAGTATTGTCTTTAGTGACGAGTCTCGATTTTGTTTAGGCATGCACTATGGTCGTGCCAGGGTTAGAAGGCGACGTGGTGAAAGGAGGAATCCACAGTTTTTTGTTGAAAGACATGTTCATCACACTGTTGGAGTTATGGTTTTGGGTGCTATAGCTTATGGTTCCAGGTCACCTTTAATCTTCATCAGAGGTAACATGAACGCGCAGCGTTATATCCACGAAGTTCTAGAACCCCATCTTTTACCCTATCTTGACACCCTGGCAGATGCAACTTTGCAACAAGATAATGCCCGACCACATGTTGCAATAGACTTCTTTCAACATAATGATGTCACATTGTTACCATGGCCACCAAGATCTCCCGACTTATCCACAATTGAGCACGTGTGGGATATGATGGGTAGGAGATTGCTCAATTTGCAACGTCCTCCTCAGTCTCTAGAAGCACTTCGAGAGGAGTTGGTGGTTGCCTGGAATGAGATACCACAGGAGGACATTGACCACCTGATCAGAAGCATGCCTAGGCGCGTTGGAGAATGCGTAGTACATCAAGGTGCATCCACACATTATTAAAGGTCAAAGGGCTTTAAAGCAGTGCAATCATTTTGAAATTTTTATCATTTACTTATTATGCTTCATTAAGTACTTATACAAAATTTTATTAAAATAAAACCATTTAAACTGGGTGTTCGGATTTATATGTCACTTAGTATATAACATTGTTTAACTTTACGCTGGAAGCTATTTTACGTGATTGTGGTATACAAACCTACGGAGTTGTTTACTATAGAAAACATCAGTTGACTGCTTACGCTGATGATATAGCAATAATAACCAGATCCAAAGCAGAACTTGAAAAGACGTTTAGAAGGTTAGAAGAAACTGCCAACGTTTTGGGCTTCATATAATGAAGCAAAACAAAATACCTAGAAATGAGAGGAACCGACGAAGGAAAGTTAACAATAAAAAGTAACTGCAGAGAATACTGTTTCGAGAAGGTGAATATCTGGGATTCACAATAACAGATAAAGCCGAGATTTAGAAATTGAAAAAAGAATAGCGAAAGGGAATAAAGCAATGGAGGCTTTAAGCAAGATGATAAACTCACGGTGGATATCAATGAAAACAAAGGAAAGGATATATAAATCGATTATCCATCCATCAGTACTTTACGGCAGTGAAGCTTGGGTGTTAAGCCAGAAAATCGTACAGAAATTGGAACGCTGGAAAAGAAAAATGTTACGTAAAATATATGGGGGCACAAAAAACAACGATGGTACGTGGAGAAAGCGAACTAATAAAGAACTGATAGAGATGTATAACCAACCCAGTATAATACAAAAAACCCGACCTCAAAGAGTGCGCTGTCTAGGGCTAGTTTACAGAATGCCGTCTTATAGGAATGCCAAAAAAGTATCGTTTGGAGGAGAAAGCAGTAGAAGAAGAGGAAGACCGAAGAAGCAGAGGCTGGAAAGTGTCAAAGAGGATATACGAAGACTAGGCCAAAAACAGAAAAGCGTGGAAAGAAGTTGTCAAAAAAATAGAAACCATGGGCCTTCAGACCTGAAGCGCTGAATTATATATATATATATATAAATAGATTGTTAAATCTGCCGCCTCGTTTTTCTAATATTTTAAAAGATTTACGGTACGTCAAAAAACAATAAATCATCTGAAATTCCACGTCTAACATACCGAAACTTTATAGTTTTAAATTTTACTTCAATTAAGTTTATTGCAACAAGGCTTTAGTTAATACGCGACTATTCATATTAGGAAATGCAGGCGTTTTTGTTTCTTTCATGAAAAATCTTTGGTATGGGGTCCCTCATGAACAAGCTACCCACTGTTTGGAATTTTCCGTTAAAAGCGTTTTAAAAGCTTTTGTGAAGAACTGTTCTGTTTTTCAGATCATAAAGAAGTTGGACAAGGTAGGAGAGCTGATCAACATCCTCAGAGTTCCACCATACACCGATCAAAAGCTGAATTTAATTAACATGTTCACGATGAAGTTGCCACCTATACCAGGACTAAAGCATCTTTCCACTTTAGTGGTATTCAGCGTTGGAATGTTTGCATCCTTGATTCTGAACCGTGGATACAATTATTGGGGAGCCCACAAGGACGCGTGAATGACAGACAAGTCCAAACAAATGATATATGTATTCTCATCACCTCAACTCTTATCCAGCAATAGCATCGAGAAGGCATATATTTTGAAAACAACATGACGGACATGTAGTACAGAATGTTTTTTTAATATCTCGTCATAACATTGAATAACGTTAACCCCCCATGCCAATAAAACTACATGTATCGACAGATCTTCTTTACTGTAGTAAACGCTTCAGTGACAAAGCTGATCTTATTCAGTCAATGGCATATTGATTTAAACGTTTACGTAAGCAGATCTGTCAATACTTGTGGTTTTATTTGCCAGACAAGCATCGTGAATTATCGACATGTAAACCATAGGATAAGTTTCAGATATTACATTGATTAATGTATTCCGCCTGAAGAAGCTGATATTGCGCGACATCTAATCCACACAATGGTTCTTGCTCTTTTTACCACAAGAATACATAACCTTAAAACCTAGAAAAAAACGTTTTTCAGACTGCTTTCCAGTGACCCAATTGAGTAACTCAGAGTGACTCTGAGTGACTCAGACATACTTCCACTGTAGTTTTTATTGCCATAACCACCTTCTAGAGCAGTTGGAGAGCATATCACTCTCAAATAAAAAATCACTGGAAAGCGGCTCAGTTGAATTTGGTTGTACGTTCAAATAATAGATGGCACGCAACCACTATTTATTTCACCACGTTAGTCAATGATCATACTCGAAAATTGTGAAACGAAAGAGGAAATAAATAGTGTTTTTATTTCTTTTTATTTGGCCTTTCAAAAAGTCTACCATATGGAGTTCACCGCCACGAATACAATGGAATGTACATTTCAAAAATACACATAATACGCAAAATACTATATCATGATTTATAAATACATACAGGTAACCAAATAAATTATTTCTTTTATCATTCGTGTTTTTTTTTATTGCTTTATCCAAATCAAATTAACCATTTCAGAGAAATCTGCACACATGCATACTTAAGATGGTTAGAATTTTTTACTGCAAGTGCCGGGTGTCATACCGTTATTCGTATATCTAAGGTTATGAACAAACGTAGAGGAGAAGGTGGTATTATGGCCCCACATTTTAATTTTTGCACGTAAAAAATAACCTAATGTTTTCTCGTTGACCTATTTGTGTCATTATAATATTCAATCATTCAAGAGTAAGGGGTCATATAAGTGAAAAAATTATAATCAAAAATGTTTCCAGAAAAATATATTTTTGTGACTCTTGCAAAGATTCATTTTTTCGAAGTAGGCAGGTAATATGGCCCCGGGGGGGCATATTGCCGAGCAAAATATATAGTAGAAACGCAATAAGCTCTCAAAGTTTAATCTACAAAAATCGCATATGTAATATTCTCGTTCGTCACCAGAGCACTCATTGTGTGCCCAAATCGCACAGCTTTGGCACTTGACCCATATTTCGCACTTTCGGTCATCAGAGAAACGGCGGTCACAAAAAATACAAGTTGCATCGTTGTTCTCAGAAACTGCCCCTTGCAAAGATGCATCAACATCGGAATCATCACCACTGCTTGGAAGAACATCTTCATCACTGTCAGAACTGCTGCTTGAACTAAGACTAGGGGCTCTTCTGGGGACTTTTGCATTTGACCTAAAGTTACGTCGACCGCGACTGCTTACGCGACCGCGTCCAGCTGCTGCCTCTGCAGTTTTTTTCATGGATGCTTCTAATTCCCTTACGTAAGTTGACGTTGTAAGTACAGCTGCCGATGATGTTTTGCGTCCTCGAGTTGAAGTCTTTGTTTTGGGCTTCGGGATACGTGATATATCATGTGGTAAAACAAAAGATGATTCAGAAGCGCATGAACCGGGATGATCATTGAGAATCGTGTTTTCTACATGATCATTGACTGTCGAGGTCCCAGGCTGTACATCTGTTGCTAATTATCACTGTTGTTATTGCCGATGTGTTATGTGGTGATGTCGATACTGTTGATCGCAGTTGAGGTTGTCCCAGGAAGTCAGCCTCGGTAAATATGTGGCGATTGCATGGATATATACCGGTGATTTTGAAGCCATTTACAGCTATCTCACCTGTTACGCACCTTAAATAAGCTTTTCCAAATAACTCTGCAATGTCATGTGGCTTTTCGAATCTCTTCACTGTAGTGAGATTTAAGAGCCCCATGAATGTGCGGTCAAGAGGCTGGAGCTTGTGCGTTGTGTGGGGGGGCAGGCTAATAATAGTAACATGGTTTTTGCGAGCAAGTTGCAAAACTTCAAGGTTTCGAGTGTGGCTGTAATGTCCATCGAGTATAAGAAGTGTGGGAGAGTTTTCTGTTGGGTGGGTTTTTTCTAAAAAATGCTCAAACCATTCAGTAAATAAATTGGTTTGAATCCATCCCGAAGGATGTACCCTTCCAAGTGCACCAGGGGGAGCTCCTTTCATTAAAACATCTGAAAAATTCTTCCTGGGGAATATCATCATTGGCGGTATGAAAGTGCCTCCAGCGCTCATTGCACTATGGTTATCAACGAACCGCGTTCTGCAGCAGTTAAAGCTCCGATCTGCCTTTTGCCCTTTCGACCCACTACTGCTGGTATTTTTGTTTGTACAATAGTGTTGCCTGTTTCATCTACATTGTAGATGTCATCTGCGGGGTATTGGCATTTTATGTTTTCGGCTTCCAAAATATCAAAAAACTTATTTATCGCTGCTGGATTAAAACCTTGAACTCGTGCATAAGAGGTTCCCGTAGGTTTTCTGAGAGACAACTGATGTTTGTATCTTTTAAGAAAATGATCCAACCATGCTCGACCTGCTATATCGTTTTTAAAAGAATTGGAAATATTGTTTTGAACTGTCAACTGGTAAGCTATTTTTCTGACATCCATTCGAGTTAAGCCATAAAATATTTGCTCCATGTGCAATATATATTCCACTAATTTTTCTTCTAGGTAAGGTGGCAACACAGGCCTTCTACCTAAGGGCTTCTGTAAAACTAGCTCTGGCGACAACTCAGTATTATGGACGAGCCTTCTTAGAGTAGTTCTTGGCACACCAAAACTTTTAACTGCCTTTGTAAAACCCATAGACTTAGTGCGTACAGCTTCAACTGCCCTTGTAATCTGATCGGAGCTCCACGTCTTTCTCTTCCTATCCCTCTTTGTAGACATTCGGGGCATCTACAACAATTTAAAATAAATTAAGAACCGAATGCAGCGTTGAGTTTATTTATAAATATATAAAAGTATCCGCAAAAATGTATTTAATATGGCCCCCTGGGCCATAATTCCAGCTTTTATAGGAGGCCATATTACATACATGGGTGTATTGTAAACACGTCACCAAAAAAAAAAATTTTTCAAAGTACCTACCTTCGTAACACAGCTATTATTAATACTTTAGCTTTGTACAGAACACAATGAATATGTTTCTAAACCAACTGTCTAGACAAAAACGTGTTGAGTCGATCACCAACGAAATTATCTACTACGCACGATACCACAGAATTGGCAATACTGGCCGAACCTGTCGATAAGTCGACCTCCTTCTTTCTTCTAAATATTGTTTGAGGACCGATTTGTGTTGTTTATTATAAAAATCATAGATGGCTCTCCGGTTTCTATGAAATTAAAAGGGGGGTCAAATTAACAGCAGGGGCCATAATACCACCTTCTCCTCTATAGTATTTTTCACGAGTAGAGATTACGGTAGAATGACAGCTGATTATCTAGTGATATTTCATAATTCCCCATGTCGGCAAAGGACACATAATTCTGACGGAACCGTCAATACCAGGTAGACAGCCATATTTTGTTTTTTTTTGTACGATACAGATTCATTTTGTACTTGCTAAAAGCTCTTTTATTTAGAAAAGTTCATTTTCATACAAAAACAACACGCTGCAAACAAGTTTTACTAGATTTACATTCGATTCATTATTAGTCACGTTGCAGACTAACACAAAAATGTCACCTGCTGAACAGCTGATCACCTCACTGGACGTCAAAGCGTGATGTATACTCGTGAAATAGGGTATAGGTGTATATCAATCTCCTATTGTTTACGTCACTAGAAGTCAAAACGTGAAAAAGCTACCGGCTACCCTCCTATTAAATATGTCTTGTTCCCATCACCTCTCTCTGTGGCGTATACAGGGAAAACCAAATTTCAATGTGTACGAGAGAGAAGCGCGAGAAGTGTGCATCAACGCATGTTAGAAAGAGATAGAAACCGGCTGAAGCGCGAAGGTCATCACCACATTGCCTAGCAACGTTGACGCAGAAGGTCGTGCAATCTGCCGCGTTGCCATTACGTTGCACCAGAAAATGTTCGCATAAGTTGCTACAATATTATTTATTTCAATTTTGATGCGACTTAGTGTTTTAATTTATTTTAGAATTAATTTTGATTTCCACTAATGGTGATAAAATCAATACATCCTGAGTTACTGTTTGCGACAGCAAGCGGTCGGAAAATTTAACAAACACCAATTTCGCAATACAAATTATCAGTGCCTGCGTGAACGTAGGTGAAAACAATTTCGAGCAGGACGACACTCCCCCCCAATGAGCGCTAGATGGGTACTGTCCAAAATCGCTCATCTATGATCAAGTAGGTGGAAACCTTGCCTTCGAATGTACGAAATGCGCCGTCAGGACCTATTCGGAATACAGCCTAAGCAGATTACGCTCAAAATAAAACCATTATTTGGGCGTAGAGAATAAACTTACGCATATTTTCATCATGTATCTTAATTCAAGGAAATGGTGTAATATCTTGGCAACGCGGCAAATTGCCGCGTCAGTGTTGCTGGTCAACGCGGCGATGAGCTTCACTATCCAGCTGGCTTCTATCTCTGTCTAACATATTTGTCTATACACACTTCTCTCTTGTACACATTGAACTCAAGCCGTCAGACATATTTGGATTTCAGTGTATAGAACTTGAGTTCATGTCCGACATTTTCAAAATCGTAAATGGGCAACATAAAATATATTTATACCTTATCCTATATCCAGTTGGATAACGATTCGAATGACACATTTTAGTTTGTTGGCGGGTTACGAATGATATTGCAAGGAATGTTATTTTGTGTCTAAAAAGATGACAACTTGTCTTTTGTTTTACTGCACAGCGGGAAAAACGAAGGTATTGTCCATGTATTTGAAGTGTGTAATTCAAAAGATGGTGGATAAAAACGAGCAAGTGTCTCACTAGGAAAATCGCCAAAGACATGTCTTTACATATTACATTTGTTTGTCTGATTCAAGCAAAAACATAAATATTCAAAATTCCTCTTTATTGTATGACGTTTCGGTCCCAACGGCAATCTTTTTCAAGTACAATTGACACTTCCGACAATACATTTTGTTTATCTGTCTTCAAGATGACACTTCATTTACATTTTTTCTTCATTTTCACATTCCTATTCAGTGTGTTACAACAATGGTATTTTTTCTTAATCATTACTGATTAGATATTTATGTTATGTTTGTATATCTCTCCATATGATACGAAATAACCATTAAAGCTTCAAAAACAAGCTTTAAATGTATGAGGCTACCATGGGTCTTAAAAAATCACACACAACATTTCAGCAGAAAAAACGGCTACCAAGGAAACAGTGAAAACCAAAATAAATAGTATGCGTGCTGGGTTTCGCAGAGAAATAAAAGAAATTGCAGAGTCCAAAAGGTCAGGAGCTGGGCAGGATGACATATATACAGGGTGACTTCGAAGTTGAGTCATTTATTTTAACAGTGAGTAGATCAGATCAAAAGACATGTTTTTTTCCTTTACCATTTTTCTGGTAAAATTAAAGTAACAAAGTTATAGCCCTTTGGAAGTTTGAGTACCGCGCTGTCTCAATAATAATATTATGTGCTCGTGTTTGGCGACAACGGATATAATCCGCCTTATCGGTTCATCGCATCGGAAACAAAAAAGCGAAAGAATTTGGAACGATGTTTTTACAATTATTTCATTCAGTTGTATAGAGTCAGTGTCAGTCGGTAGTGAATAGTGGTGTCTGTTGCGTGACTCAAACGAAATAAAAAATGGCACATGTTTATGCGGATCGGTTTCCCAATCGAGTGTAACCAACCCCTCGTGCCTTTGTTAATGTAGTACAACGGGTTAGTCAATCAGGTGACTTAAGACCTCACATATGGACGGCATGCCGGTGCTCCAAGACCTCACGATCAAATACAGATCCGCACTGCAATACTTGTCGGGAGGATACTTTATAAAACAAGGTAAATTTTTTTTTAATTTTTTTTTATTTGTACACACATATTTTGGTTTATCTTCCTTCTACAATCATTATCTGAAAATTAATGACTCAACTTCAAAGTCACCCTGTATATACCACATTTATGGTATTACAATTTGTTGCTTTTATTAAAAGATCAAGAGATACCCAGATCATCTGTATCAAACGTACCAGACGAGAACGTGATGAATGAACAGTTTGATTCAGATCAAGGAGAGGTAAGTAAAAAATTATCCATTTAGGTACTGTAATGTTTTATGAATAAGAAGCTTTAAGTTTTCTACAGGATCTGTTGTGACTATTACTGTGTCATTTTATCTTGCCAGCTCAGAGCACCCTCATGACAGAAGTAATTCGTAAACAGTAGTCTAACTTGTTTTGCTTCATTGTTACTCCCTCGATTGTAACCGCGCTGCAGTCTTGTCATTCCGGTGCTTTCTAATCCTAAATCTATTGTGCCATCTTGTATATTTTCACTGTAAACGTTATCTTCTGGTACATTTGCAGTTCCACATTTTCGTCTTAAATAATTATGTAAAACACAGGCGGCCATGACTGCTTTTTCAATTCCTTCTAAACTAATGGAAATCGCTCCTTGAAATATTCTAAAACGCGCACTCAGTATGCCAAAAGAATTTTCAACTCTACATCTTGCTCGTGAAAGCCGATAATTAAACATTTTTCGGTCATTATTAAGTTCTTTCTGACCAAATGGTTTTAAAAAGTGGCAGCGCAAGGAAAATGCTTCATCACCTATGAAAACGAATGGCATTATAGCTTTACTGCCTCTAGGTTTTCTTTGAGGCGGTACAGATAAATTCCCATTTTTTAGTTTCTGATAAAATGTAGTGTGGTCAATAACACCTCCATCAGATATTCGACCATTTACTCCAAAATCAACCATAATGAACTCATAATTTGCGTCGACTATAGACATGAGCACTACACTATGTCCTCCTTTGTAGTTATAGAAATAAGAACCACTTCCAGCAGGGGGGAGTATATTAACATGTTTGCCGTCAACGGCTCCCACGCAGTTTGGGAAGTTACATTTCGTTTCAAAATCAGCAGCAATTGTATTCCATTCATCCTCTCTTGTAGGAAACTGCAAAAAATATTTAAATTAATTTACAGTATTTTTGTCATTCTGTTTGGTCGAGTTTGAGAACCGTTATGTGCAGCAAGTTGCTACTCTGGTTGCCTATACGGGCACATTACAATATGCAATATTTAGGAAAATTGTTTTTCTTTATTTAGAAGGTTGACACACTGACAACTGAGTTGTAATTCGAAAATCTTATCCTTAAAGTTTCAAAAAACTTCAAGCAATTTATTACATTTTTATTTTAGGAAATTGGGAATGCCTCAGAATCTGAAAGTGAAGGATGACGTAGTTCATTACAAAGCCCATTGGATGCCCGACCAAGTACTAGTTATGGAACTCACGGAGCAGAACACGATGTACTGATAATAGCATTAGTTATTTCATGAATAGCCCTTGAAATACTCTGCTGAGACATTGAAATGTCATAGCTCCTGCCTATCACTCTTTGGTAAGTGCCAGTAGCATAAAACTTCAGGATAACAGATACTGCTACAGGATTCGGCACCTGGTTCAAATGAGGTATGATGCAATTTAAAACATATTGGGCCATGTCTTTATTCAGCCTGAACAATTCTTTGAATCTCACATACTAGAGCCATTATCTTTCAACAGTGAAATATGCAATCAAAAACTAAGACCAAGGTTTCAAACTTCAAACATATATAAAACACTGCCACAGGTGATAGGTTAATTACAGTCAATGTCAAAAGAGCCAATGCGACACAAACATAAACATAACAAATTAAAAGTTACTAGATATTACTAAAAAATTATGAGATACTTTCATCTTAGATAGTACCACAGCCGACGTCAACTACGGCTAACCAATACGGCTGTGATAGTACATTGCCGAAAATACCCGAAGCGTAGTCGACTGTGACACAGAGTGCCACAAAACGTGACAGTTGCTTTCTACAGTCGATATCAACAGTGGAAAGCAAGGTCTAGAATTCCATGAGACACGGAGTCCCACTACTGAAGAATTTAGAACTTCGGTACAGAGCCCATTAAACAGTAGGTCCGGCACCCATGGAAACAAATCGTTAATTCCACCTACAACTCGTTCTACAAAGAAACGTAGAGCTAAAGCAGATGCCCAGGCAGACAAAGTTCTTGCTCTTGTTTCAAAAAGGCTAAACTGCAGTATGTTGCAGCGAAATTGAGAACTCTTCCAAGAGAAACAAAGTTATACACGGAAAAGCTCATCAATGACCTATTGTTTGAAGCAGAAATGGGTAGTGTTACCAAAGCAACAAAAATTGTTTCGCTACTCGATTCAGCAGATAATAACTCCCAAGTTACTTTAAACAGAGACGGTTCCGCTACTCTTTATTAACCTCAGCATTATACCTATCCATCTTTGAATGTATTTTTCCTTTTTTTCTCAAACTTTTATGTTAACTTTAAATACTCATCATGTTTGTTTAGTTAATTAATAAAAATTAACATCCTTAAAGTAACATTAAATGGGGGCTCGCGAAATCGAGACCAAATAAAGCCTATTCAAAAGATAGAGAAAGCAATATCATTGCTTTTTTAGATCGACTCGTGAGCCCCCTAATAATAACGTATTATTTTATTTAGTAGTGCATCCTTTAATACCTCATAAATAGCATTGCAGGTCTCCGGAATCATTTTACTTAGCAATTAAGGTGAGATGATACTAGAAAATTTCAAATCTTCATAGTTCCTGCCAGTAGCTAGGTACCGAAGGGTAACAGAGTCTTTCATGAGGTGATATGGAAGACCTCATGCACGTGTCTTGTTTCTGGATCAGTGGCGTTACTAAATTTAAAAGTAATACATAGCTATCCTCATCCATGCGGAGATAATTTCGATAATCATCCGGTTCTAAACGAAGTTCTTCCAGTAGATTTACGTGTGAGAATCGATCACGCTGCAACAACCATTTCTAATTTCTTTACCCATTTACTTTGTGGCCTGCGTTTATTCATTAATGTTTTTTCTTGATTATATACACGCACGCCACTGCTAATAAATTTAAATCAATATCACTCACCGACGGCATGTTTATTAGCAAGCTGGACTGTAAATGTTCTTTACGTGTGTAGGCAATTCGAATAAAACGTACTTGTACGCGCATACGTAACTCAAGGAATGTTCTTGTGTCTGTAGGCGCCTTTAGTCAAGAAATGTTTTTTTAATAGCGCGTTGATCGCCGCATGCTACGATATGACAGGTTAACTTACCTGGGATTTCAGTCCACATCAGGTAGCTGAATTGGACAACTTTTTCCTGTAGACACTGCACTAAGTATATTTTCTCCAGTCTTTGAATAAAATGAACACTAGTTTATCAATCTCCTTGTTCTTAGCGCGTTCAAGCATATTGTTTTTGTAGTTGCCGATTCACGGTTCACTAATGTTAAATAGTAATACTTTTCGGTAGGTTTTGACAAAAGTTAACTAATATTTTGGGTATGTAGCGCTTTCAGGAAAAAACAATCCCGCAAATTATGTTTTGTCAATAATATGGAAAAGCACACGGTACGATAAAGGATTTCTAATATTTAGGCCCGTATCGTCAGTCGTCCCTACAATTGTAGGGCGCCTTTATGGCCTCCTTGGTTGTCATAGTTTTCTACTTCTCCGTGTCAGCACTCTATTTTGAGGTTATGTCACAAACATCTATTTGCATCAAATTGTGCTTGCTTTTGAGTTATAACATGTTTTATCAGCCTGAAATTTCCTACAATTTAAAAAGAAAACATATCTTCACAATAGGAGAGCGCTGACGCTGACACGGGACAATTGTAATCTAGAAATTTTTGAAGGAGAGAAAGGCGTATGACAATCAAGGAGGCCATAAACGCGCCCTACAATTGTAGGGACGATACGGGCCTTGAAGAACAAGGTGATTCGTCTTTACGTTGACTACGGCACTGTCCAAAACCAAAGAGCACAACGCGCAAACTCGTTACTTTCACGTGGACGCATGGTTTATTGGTTTGACACATTACTGACGTTTATAATTAACCGTACTTAGGTTAGGATGGACAAAGTTTGGTATTTTTAAACAAGTGCGGGGCGCGGGTAAAATGTTTTCAAACCGTATAATTCGTATCCATTTTAATAATTTCTTAAAAATGTCTACTGCACTAAGACTATTCGTTCAGAAAAATCAAGGTTTAGGAAGCCAATACAGGGTAAGAGTTGCTTTACTTGTTTGTACTTTGAACTACTGTGTTTATAATTTCTAGCTATACTGCAAAGGTGTTTCTGGTATACCAAAAAATAATTTAGAGAATCTAATATCTGCTCATAAACAAAGCCAAAATGGAGTATGTTATGATAAAAAGCCATTCAGAGTTACCCTTGAAGCAGGTGAGAACAGTTCATTTTAACTCAAAAACCACAGTTAACCAGTATTTGACTTTAGGTAAAAAATACTCCTGGTGTTTATGTGGCAGGAGCAAGACTCAGCCATTGTGTGATGGTACACATAGGCATCAACAATTGAAGATTACTCAAAAGTGAGTTTTTCCCAAAATAACATATGTACTACATAAGTGGACTCTTATGCTCTTTGAAAGTAAATAGCACTAAACAAAATTCTGTCAAATAATCTGGTTATGTTGAAAAACATTTGGAATATTACTCTTGAATGCTATAAGTCACATATGTTTGCATGTTTTCATCTTATTTTTTTTTATTTAGCATAACTTTTGAACTATGTTTGAGCAGTGGTAATTATATTTACTTTCAGACCTGTGAGGTTTGTAGTCGACGAAACTAAAGAGTATTGGTTATGTAACTGTAAACAGACAAATAACAGACCATTTTGTGATGGGACTCACAAAACTGAGGCAGTAAAAGAAATGTCCTCTATAGTTAGGCAGTGAATTTGTAAATGTATTTATATATAGTTTTTTGTTGATAAGATTAAACACTTAAAATATAAATACTTTTTATTTTATGCACAATACAATCATAATCACTAAGAAGAAATAACCTAATAAATTACTAAGTTTTTTGCATTACGTTTTACTTCCTGCTTCATTTTCTTTTGGCTTCTGCCCTGATCCTTGTTCTATATTAGCTAACTCATGGTCCAATCGCTCCTTAGCTCTCACAATCTTTGATTGTATGTACAAAGAAGTGTTTCATTGGATTTGAATAGTGCCTGAAACCTCTTCTCGACCTCTTCCTTATCTAACTTCCTAACATTTAAGATTTGCTGTGCTTCCTCGAGTGAGAGCCCTAATTTGTGATTAGCCATCCGTTCGCCTCTCGTCTTGGCCTGGTTCATCTTCTGTGCAGCTTGCTGAGATGCTTCAATTTCTTGCTTGATTGCTCTTGCGAAAGCTCTGGCCACCACTTGAGTGCCAGCCAAAATCAACTGGGCTATGTACTTTGCCATTATTTGAATATTTTCTCTTAAAAGTTATTCCATCATAAGAAAAATTGTAAATGTTCATTGGAATAGGTGAATTTAACCTACAAAAACGAGGTTATCACAGGACAGTGTTGCCAGATTCGGCGTGAAAATAACTCGACAGTAGGGATGCGCGATACGATACGATCTTTTAAAGTATCGATACTTCTGCTTTCGATACCCGATATTTTGTATCGATATTTTCATTGCGATACATCACTAATATCGATACTTTTGCTTGTATATCGGATCATACGATCCGCGGATTGAGAAAGTTGCGGCATCTAGTTATGACGAGTGTAAATCCCGCCAAGGAAATCGAAGCCGGCAGAGATGTAGTAGCGATGACATCTATCGTTGCCCATCATGAACCATCAAAGATGGAATCCACCGATGATTACTGTTGAATAAACGAAAGCGTCCTATACTATATTGTTCTGTGGTTGCCAAGGTGATCGACCATGTTGCGGGAAAATAGGGGAATCACCAGAAATCGTGGAATTGTGAGGTTAAGTTTTAATTTGTTTTAATTATCAAAGTAATTATAATATAGTTGCAGTAAAATTAGTTTTTCTGCCTTATCATGCCACCGATAAGAAGCAATGTGTGGAAAGTATTTGTGAAAACTAGTTCAGGAGGGAAATGCAAATTGTGTCAGTGTGTCGTAAAAACAGCAGGGAACACCACAAATTTGAAAAAGCATCTAAAAAGAAAACATCCAAATTATGATATAGATACACCTCAGGAAGAAGCAAAAAAGGAACAGAACAAAAACAATGTAGGTAAACGTTTATTTGTAATATTTATTATAAAATCTGTCAGAATTTTTTTAGATATAGTATTTTTTATAAGCTTGTTATTTTTTGTAGATGGTGGTGGAAAAGCTGGAAAAATCACCAATGCTATCATATTCATGATCGCAAAAGACAACTTGCCCTTAAACACTGTACAAAAAGAAGGTTTCAAATATTTCATGAAAACAGTTGCACCTTTATACCATGTACCCGATCGCAAAACACTATCTAAGTTAATTGGTGAAAAGTACGGTTTATTATCAGGTATGTTTAAACAAAAGCTTCAAACAGTACACAATATCACAATTACAACAGACATATGGACAGAAATTAAAACAACAACAAGTTTCCTGGGAGTGACAGCACGTTTTCTGTTGGATGGTAAACTAATTTCTCTGACAATAGGAGTGTATGAGTTGGACCAAAGATATGCTTCAGAATATTTAGGGCAATGTCGTTCATCTATTTGTGAAGAATGGAATATTTCTGATTTAAAAATCACAACTGTAGTTACAGACAACGGAGCAAATATAGTAAAAGCTGTGTCTGACTTATTTGGGAAAAACAGGCATCTGCCCTGTTTTGCACATACGCTAGATCTGGTGGCATCAAAAATTACTGACAGTGAAGATGTAAAGCCCCTTGTTGTTAAAGTTAAATCTATTGTAACTTATTTTAAGCAAAGCGTATCGGCAGCCGATGATTTAAGAAGAGCACAGCCATACAATAACATTTTAAGATTAATACAATCTGTGCCGACTAGGTGGAATTCGACCTTTTACATGTTGGACAGATTTACTAACTTATATGAATATATAGCTCCAATTTTACTAAAAAACCCAAAGTCACCAGCCATGTTAGATGCATCTGAATTGGAAAAAATAAAAGAACTTTTAAATATTCTATCTCCTATCGAGGCAGTTTCAAAAGAAGTCAGCGGCGAGCAATATTTAACATCAAGTAAGATTATACCTATTGTTAACTGCCTTTTTAAAAATATTGGAAATTTATCCCCATCTTCTAAAGAAATATTAGCTTTAAAAACTACAACAATTAATGAACTTTCTAAAAGGTTTGGGGCTATAGAACAAAATAAATTATTAGCTGTGTCAACCTTATTAGACCCCGTTTTAAAAAACTCAATTTCAATAGTCCAGTGGCATGTGCTAATGCTGTTACTTTTATTAACCAGTCAATTCAACAATTACGTGAATTGCATAACCAAGACCAAATGAAAAATGCTCCAAACTCACAAAGTCAAAGTGCTCGACCGCCTCAATCTCAACTAAATAAATCTCAAAGCTTATGGGCTTACCATGAAGAATTAGCTGCCAAACATACTTTAACGCAGGTGGATACTAGGGACAGCCTTGACTATGATTTTAAAATATATTTAAACAGCCAAACACTACCAATATTATCAGACCCATTATCTTGCTGGAGCACACACGCGTCACATATATTGAAAGAAATAGCTCATAAATATTTATCTATTGTGGGAACCTCAGTTCCATCAGAAAGGGTTTTTTCCAAAGCTGGAAATATTATTAGCCCAAACCGTAACAGGCTTAGTGGAGAAAGATTATCAGAGCTTTTATTTTTAAGTTCCTTAAATTTTGAAGACTGGAACCTATTATAGTTTTGTTTTTTTTGTTATTTTTTATAGCAGTTGAAGAAAAACCTGTATTATGTTGGTTTATATATATTTATATTTATGTTGATTATAATATTTTAGTTTTTACATATCAACACTTGTTAGTTCAAGTTAGACATTGGAACTGTATTGTTTTATATTTTCTTTTATATATGTATTTTTTAATACGAGAATTATTTTTTATTTTTTTTTTGTTATAAATGATTAAATGTGAAAATTATACAAACAAATATATTTGATTTTGGAACCCAAAATTTATTAATCAATCATAATGATTTAAATTCAAACACGATTCCTAATTTTTTTTGTAACGGATAAGATTACGACTTACAGAATAACCGTATCGAGGTATCGATACCTTAGGTATCGATTCTTTTACAGCGATATTTACCTGTATCGATACAATTTCTCACGATACGGATTGATACCAAATATCGATACATTGAAGAATATCGCGCATCCCTACTCTACAGGCTCGTGGAAATTATTGTACACAGTACCGTAGGTGGTAGTGTCTTTTTCACGGGTATCCGTTACGGAAAAATAACAGATGAGTATTTAGTGTTATTTCAAAATTCCCCACATCGACGAATGACACAATTCTAGTGGATCCGTCAATGGCAGGTAGGTAAAGCCGTATATTTTTTGGTTTTTTGTTCGCTACAGATTCATTTTGTACTTGAAACAACTCTTATTTTAACAAAAAGTTCATTTGCATACAAAAAAAAGGCGCTACAAGCGAGTTTTACCAATTTTGCACCACATTCATTATTGCCAACGGTTACAAAGATTTCATTAGATTAGATTAATTCAGTAAACGTCAAAACGAGATAGATACTCGTGAAACTGGGCTTATACCATTATACTCTATTTCACGATTTGACATCTACTGAGGTGAAAATCTGATCAGCAAGTGACATTTTTGTGTTAGTCTGCAACGTTGGCAATAATGAATCTGGTGTAAATCTAACAAAAAATTTTTTGTAGCGTTTTTTTTTGTGTGCAAATGAACTTTTCTGAATAAAACAGCTTTTAGCAAAGTACAAAATGAATCTGTAGCGTAACAAAATATGGCTCTGTCTATCTAGCATTGACGGAGCCGTCAGAATTATGTGTCCTTTGCCGATATGGGGAATTTTTAAATATTACTGGATCAGCACCTGTTATACTCTACCGTGATGGATACTCGTGAAATAGGGTGTAGCTTGCTCGCTAACTAACCTTAAAGAGTCTACAGCTACAAGTTAGGAGTTTCTTTAGTGAGTTCTTTCGACTCTTCGTAGCAGCACAACATTTGATGAGTATTGACTCAAATTTAATTGAAAATTAAAATATATAATCCATTTACCTTGAGTACGATAGAAAAAATTCTAGGTCCCATGATTCATGCTCAGTTGAGGCAAAAGATTTCTGTCTCGGAGGGTATAGACAATTAATTGTTATGGGGGGGGGGGTATTATACATTTAGCTATTATCCTGTACCTAACATAAATCAGTACTTAAGATTATCGTACGAAACCGATAATTATCATACATCTGGCAACGCTGCCACAAAACACATGACAGGATCATCAACAAAACCACAAAACATATGCACAGAATTGACACGGAACAACGAAAATAGAGATGGGATAGGATGTGAATCCATGTCAGCTCCATAGATATACCATTTTAATGTTAATTCTAATATGGGTGACTTTGAAGTTGAGTCATTAATTTTCAGATAATGATTGTAGAAGGAAGTTAAACCAAAATATGTGTGTAAAAATAAAAAAAAATTTAAAAAAAATGTTGCCTTGTTTTATAAAGTATCCTCCCGACAAGTATTTCAGTGCTGACCTGTATTTGATCGTGCGGTCTTGGAGCACTGGCATGCCCTCCCCTGTGAGGTCTTAAGTCACCTGATTCACGAGCCCTTTGTACTACATTAACAAAGGCACGAGGGGTTGGTTGCACTCGATTGGGAAACCGATCCGCATAAATCCGTGATGCCACGTAAATAAGAATCATGTCCACAAATTCAGCATTTTCGTAAACATGTGCCATTTTTGATTTCGTTTGAGCCACGCAACAGACACCACTATTCACTCACGCGTTACCGACTGACACTGACTGTATATAACTGAATAAAATAATTGTAAATTCCAAATTCTTTCGCTTTTTTGTTTCCGATGCGATGAACTGATAAGGCGGATTATATCCGTTGTTTTCAAACACGAGCACATAATATTATTATTGAGACAGGGCGGTACTCAAACTTCCAAAGGGCTATAACTTTGTTACTTTAATTTTATCAGATAAATGGTAAAGGAAAAAAACATTTCTTTTGATCAGATCTACTCACTGTTAAAATAAATGACTCAACTTCGAAGTTATAGTTAATTGCCTTAAGAGAAAATATCCTTGAATTTCTTTGGGTAGAATGCAAAGTTTTGCATAAGTACACTCTTATAACTTGAACTCGAGCTTTCGATGGTCTGTGCCATCATCGTCTGGAGCTACAAAACAATTTTTGAAAAATAGCAACAATAAACAATTAGGAGGAAAAAATATAATTACTTACTAAGTCGGCGAGATTGTTGCTGAAATTGTTCTTAAACGACAGTGAAAGGAATACATAGTCGACGAACAGAAAACTGGACCGATGAGGTTCGATTGGAACGAAATTATTTTATTAATAAATGGCACTTCTTCAATCGTGCATGTAATAACCTAAGACTCCCATTTACCTTTTATTTCTTTATGTTTTCATATAGGTACTATGATCCACCACTTAACATTTTTTGTCAAAATGTTGCTTCAATTCGTTTTCGGAATTTATAACTATGATAAAATTCCGGCAATCTACTTGATTCCTGAAGCTCGCCAACCGTACACGCACATACATTATTTCGGTGCTCAAAAATTGGTCTGAAAGCTCCAGAGCTTCAAATATGAGACAGTAGTAGAATACAAAATTGAATTAAGGAAAAGAAACCTGCTTTGAAAATAATTAGAACATTTGGTTCTGCTAGTGACTTATACATATAGCACTGGTATACAGTCCCGGACTTGAAAACGCGTTTCTTCGCTATTTTTGCATTTATAAAGAAAAAGAAATTCAGCTAGGTTTTTATACGAGTATTATGATTTTCGACTTTTGTCGTCTATTATTTATTAAAATCAGAAATTCACAGTATTTTTAGGATACCAAAAGACTACAAAACACATGCTGTAGAACTGCCAATAATTATGACGGAGTTCAAAATAAAGTGCAGCATTTCATTCACCCCAAAATATAATGATATATGACAAAATTATTTGTGTAATAAAAATACTGATAAATGGATGTTAGGAATTAGAAAAATAATACAAACATTTTTAACAAAATCCTGTGTAACAGTTTATAATGTGGTTATACTAGAATAGAAGGGGCTTCACCTAATTATTGAGATGATTCGATATTTACTCCCCTAGCCCTAAAGTAACAGCTTCTTTGTGAGCAACTCACTCGTTCAATCTACTTCATCTAGTATTTTATTTTTGTCCAAATCATAAAATAAGTCCCTCCCAACATTAATAAAAAGTAGACTGGACATAAGGTCTGGGCCTAAAGACGACCGAAGTCGATTTTTGACTATTTTAAGTTTAGAAAAAACTACTGTTCAGCTCTTTACATCAATAGCTGTCAAAGCATGAATGATTTCTATCAAATATGTCCGCATCCCCATATATGTTTGACAGCTTTGACCCCCCAGCCATACTAGCCAAGCGGAAAGAAAATCGGGCATTCCTTTCATTGGGTAACCAATTGATTGACATCTGAAGGGTGTTAGGGTGGCCTAGAACAAAAGTACCGATTAGTAGATTAGTACAACTGACGAGCAAACCCAACTCTACATATTTCTACAAGTCAACCACAGAAAAGTAAGAAATTTGTTTGTAATTGTCACAAAAATTCCTTAGGAAAAGTAAACAAAAACATACTTCATTTTAATTTATGAAATCTTACAGAGGCGATGGATAACAATTATTAATGAGTGTATTCCATATACCATAAAGCATCGCAATGCTACTGTTATGCCCAGGTCTAGGTAAGTTGCTTTTTCCACAAATCCTCAAATTTATATTTTTGTAAAATTTACTAATTGTTTGTTTTTAATTTAAATTAGTAAATGCCGTGAGTGGGAGAAAGAGAGGAGGAATCGTTTTAACGAAGCACTCACAAGTTTGGCTAAAGTGTTGCCAAATTATGACCCAACCGTGAATCTCGCAAAATTAGACATACTTCATAAAGCAAAAACCACAATAGTAGAACTGCAAGCCCAAGTTGCTAGTACCGGAGATGCAGAAGAAAAGGAAGTTGTTAAGAGTAAGTACTTATCTCACATCAGTTTTAAGTGCTACAGAGTAAATTTATCAACTTGAGAGGGTTAAAGCACTGGGCATAGTTTGATACAAAAGTACAAGCTCATTCATTTTGATTTACGTTTTATATACAGTATTCATTTCTTGGGATATTTGTTGTGTTTTCATGTATCAAACTGCATCCAGTAACCGATCTTTATAAGCAACAATTTTGTTTTCTCATTTTAGATAATTTGATCAAGAAATTTCAAAACAGAATCAGAGTGCTATTAAGTCGAAATGAACAGTTAGGCAACCTACTCAAAGATGCTAAAATTACAATACCTAAGCATTTGGAACCTATCAAACTCAAGAAGAGTCTTCCTTGGTCTGGAAGAATCAAGTCAGAACAAGCAGAATACTTTCAAAAGAAAGAGATGGAAAGTGAGCTTATACATTATACAATATTTAAATTCATACACTTATTTCTTTGTTAATTTATAGAAGAGAATGTTACTCAGTCCAATCATATCCATACAAGGATAAGGTGTATAAAAAAACCACCCAAGAAAACAAAAACTCAGTCATGCAAGAAGAATAGTATAAATAAAGCAGCAGTTGGTCCTAAATGTGTCCTTGTATTACCTCAAACAAAATATGGGGATGGATCAAGAAGACAAAGATGTTCCATTGCTCTTTCTAAATATTCAGGTAAATAAAACTTGAAGTTGACAAGTAATTGAAACGTAGCTATATAGGGTCACCAACTCAAACATTATATAGTTCAAGTATCCATGTAAATGGTTTCTCACTATCTTGTTCTTGGTTTTGATTTATTGATGAGACTGCATATATTTAGACAGCATATAGAACCACCGAATTTTATCAGAGAATATTATAGCTAACCCTTAGTTATTAATAATGTTTCTAGGTGACATATCCCCATTGTTTTGATTCCTTAACTTCTATATGAGTGTAGTGATAAACTTAATATTTCCAGTCTTTAATACACCTGCAATCTACTTCAATAATTTTCCAGATGTTACCAGTATCCCAAAACCTGTTTGTATATCTGCCAATGCTCTGTCAACACTTGGACCAGGCACATTGATTTTTCCCAATGGAACTGCCTTACCATTGGTGTCGCAATCTCCCATTTGTTTTCCTCCCACAGTTACATTTCTTGCAAGTCCAGTACCAACCCTCCAGTTGACAACAGCCAAAGCTTTACAAAAAGTACCACAACTTCCCATAAAACAAACAATAGGTGTGAGAAAACTCACAAGACCGATCATCTCAAACATCTGTCTGACAACCACAACTCAGGTAAATAAAGTTCCTATACCTGCTTTGAGTACCAATTATACAAACACAGTGTTGTTAAAAAGTGCCCAGAAAACAGTTACAAAATCGATTTCTGAAAGTAATAAAAAATGTTTCAAAAGGAAAGCAGTTGATGTGTCTACAGAGTCTTCAAAGAAAGTTAAATCTGATGCAACTCATACAGATAACAATGCAACGGTAAAAGGTATATCTGTCACTGACAGTACTTCAGGTTGTAGCAATAATTGCAATAACAACACTGATACAGAAAAAAGTCAAAATATAGAAACAGTGGCTGTCACAAAGGCTTTATCTGAGAGCTGTAATATTGATGTTAACAAAGGTAAAATACTTGAGATCAAAGCTAATTCTTGTGATGTACCTGTCACCAGTAGTGATAAACTAATTGATAAGCAAAGTCAAGTATCTGATCTCCAGCCAAATAATTTAAATATTTTGAAAGATACACAAGTAATGGTGAACTCTCAGTCTGTTATTGGTGGAGAGTCAGATGTTATTGGAAAAAATAGTGAACTACTTCCTGCAACCAATGTGAGAAAGCTAGAAACAGATACTAGGAATGCATCATTGGAGAACAATGTTATTTCTAGTGCAGAAGGTTCTATTAAACCTATAGCATCAAGTGCAAAGGATATTACACAAAATGGAGTAACACAAGATGCAAAAACGGATCATACCCATTCTGAACTGTCTAATGACATTTTTGGCGCGTTAGCCGCGGGAGCGAGCTGTCAAAATCCTGAATCTACTTCCCCTACTGCTGCATTTCTGATGACATTTCCTCTTGTATCTTCAGTCAAAGCGACAGAGGTGACAGATGAAGAAAATGCTGAAGGTCATGATACTGAGAACCTATTACAAACTCATAATATAGATGCAAATAAAACATCTCTGCCAGACAACCTGGCTAACAGTTTGCTAAATCTGGATACATTTTCCTTTTTTTCTTGCTCAAATTTCTTGAGTAAATGCAGTACTGCATTAGGTAATGAGAATGCTAGCAACAGCATTACTCTCAGTACTGTTAAGAGTCCTATTTTACAAACAGATTTTTCTGCGATAGTAAGCAAGGATCAGGAAGAGATCAAGAAACCTGCTGCCAATGAAAACAAAAGTTCACAACAGATACAATGTCTTGATGGGCATGAGAAACATAGTAACACAACCAAAGACGCAGCACTGGTAGAAAAGTCTGCCAGTGTAAAACCGGACAAGCCTGCAGATTTTGGTCTCTCTAATCAAAATGTTGCAGATAAACACAAAGAAAATACTTATAATCTTTTTGGAAGAAACAACACAGATATTAAAAACAGAAGCAAACTATTGCCTTATCATGAACCTATGCAAAATTCTTCGCACTTGGATATAAAATGTATTGGTACATCCAATAACAAAATTAAAATAGGAACGGTAGATGTCAACAGTTCAGAAAAGAGCACATCTAATGGAGTGTCAACGCCAAATTTGCATGAGCAAAGCTCAAAAGATTTGAGTATTTACTACAATGATTTGAGTGGTTTAAATGTGAATAATAAAGAAACAAACCACTCGATCGTGGCTTCTAATGGAAATAAAAATGCATCTTCTGGCAAGTCTCATGATGATACTGCTGGAAAGAATACCAACTTTAATAATTCACCATTTCTATCCCATAACGTTTTTGAGCAAAGTGTCAAAGATTCTTATGCAGGAAAAACAAATGATAATTTAGAGTCTAGAGGAATAATCGAGTCCTCTCAAGTCTCTCAGGTATTGCCCAATGTTGGTAGTTATACTTATGCAAACAATTGGAATTTACCTAAATCTGATCACAAGTTATCTGGTGAAAAAAATTCTGTCTTTTATCTGCAATCTGGTCAAATTGCTCTAAAATCTTCATATGGCTGCAATGTTCCTGATAGCATTAAATATACCAATTTGGTGGAATCTCATCCCAAAGTAACTGTTTCTCAAATTCATAGTCAGAATGAAAGTAACATATCCAAAAGTACAACATATAATAATCCAGATAAATCTGATACAAAGCAGATAAAGCCACAAGAAAACATCCAAATTTCTACAAAGACTTTGTATGATTTCAGCAGCTCAGAAGCCATGACATATATCGATCCTGCCAGATCTAATATGACATTTTGTGCAGATAAAAATACTTTTTCAGTCTCACAACAGCCAATGTTCGATTCAGCTAAATATAATACTAATGTATCTGGTAACAAATCAAATGTCCCTTCTAACCAAGCTAGTCAACATAGCAGTAAACCAACATATGGTTTTAATGCGTCTGATTCAACTACATATTTGTATCCAACTAATATCTATAACTCAAAAAGCCTAGGTAATGTGAAAGAGTCCTACTTGGTGCAAAATATGCCAGCAATATCTAAACCTTCGCGTGAATATAGCATTCTTCCAACAAATGGTGGTTTTGGTAGCAATCATTTTGATAAAATTACGAGCAGCTTTTGCAGTATGAGAGGTACAAGTGCTACTGAGACATTCGCTTTAAACAGTACTAGTGAACCAAACAAATTCCCAGAAGTACGCGGTTCTAGGTTGCAAGCTAGTGCAGTGCAAGTTGACAGTTGCAGTACTAACCAAGACAATATACATTGTGCTAATATTTTCGAGGATAAGAATGTTGCCGCATCTAAACAAGCACCTGGACAGAGAGAAAATAGATTACAATATCCATTGAAAACAAGTGACTTTGGGCAAGGCCATCTGTATAATTACCAGCAGGTCACAGGATCTCAAAGGAAATCCGACAACAATGCGCAGATGACGGATGTTATGTATCAGGAAAGTATATCGAGTGCTGTAAATAACAGGCTTTCCAATAATAGCAACCAAAATTTGTATGACAAAAAACAAAATTCACATGGCTATCATGAAAGAGCGTCTAGCAAAGATGATAAACCAGGTACGTCAAACCAGGACATGTATGGTAAGAAACACACGATGTCACGTGATAAACATAATTCGAAAAACACTTCAGATGACATCTTGAAACAGCCAAACCATGGATTCCATCAGCATGATATTTGCTACAAAGGAAAAACAAAAACTGTACCTGATATCAGAAGTATGGGTAAAGCTACAAATGATATATTTTCACCTCAAACTAGCATAGATGCTGGAAATCAATCTAACAAGGATATCAATCAAATTTCACAATTATATATGATGAATCTTCCAACTGGTTCCTGTCATTATCAAACTGAAGACACAAAAACTTCTTCTTACATGAACATAAACAAAACATATTCTGGTGCTTTGTATACGAACTCTACCAACTATAGTAAATACAATTATACAACGGATATTAGTTTGAACGAGAATTGTCACAAACCCACCACATCAAAGCCTTTCGTTCAGGATAAGTTATTAGAAGCCGCTCCAAATTTTGATACCAATAAGTATTGTGTTAGTCCTGTTAAAAAAATAGGTATCGAGCTTAAAACTAACCCTTTCAATCCTCCAGTGAACTGGATGACGACAGCTGATACTAAAACAGAATGTTTTTTGCCACAATTTTCTACCCCCTCTTATACTTCTGCATCTACAGAAGATGCCAAGCAATATACATGGTCCACAAACAAGTTTCCGAATATTTTTGAAGCTCCACAGGCTTTCGTTCCACACTCAGTGCCATCATTGCCTTTCAATCCATCGTCGTTGATAGAACATCAAAAACCACCAAAAGAGAAGAAGACGGTACAACCAGAAAACCAAAGCAATTTTCTGTCTGTCAGTCAGTTGGTTGATCAGAATAAGAGTGATTGTACTGCTACGCCAGCTAAAGTCACAGCAAGAAGAAATAGTGGTAACAGGTCTAAAAGTACGAATATAAGTAAAAATAAAAGATCGAGCAAGACCGAGTCTGTTGATAAGAGTGCGCAAAGTAAGCAGACTTCAGGGCTTGTTGTGAATAATGAATACTGTTATGATCAAAAACAGACTATCAAGAATAGGAATAGTACAAGCTACTCAGCGGAAGCTCTTATTGGTAACCAGGGGAATGAATTTTCTAAAAAGTATGTGCCTGTAGAAAGTAAATCTTTAGTCACTACCAACTTCTTAGCCGACAGTATGGTGACGTATTTTCCATCTATGGATGATAATTATATCTCCCATAATAATTTCTCAACCAACAATTTCTCTCATAACTCACTTCAAAGTACCTCGTATTCTGCTAACAACTTTTTGTATTCTACACAATCTGTAGCACCCACCCATGTTCATACCAATGCTTTCGAAAATCCTCCAGATTTCTTAACAGAGAGTATTGCAGATATGAAAGATTTGAATGCCAAGCACTCGAAGTTTTTTGCCAAAGATGAGAAAAATCCAAGTTGTAGTAGCAGCGGCGCGAAAAAATCAAAGAAGAAACAAACAAATGATAGTACTTTTGAAGCAACATTTCCACCTATAAATGACACGTCAATGTTGAATGAAGATTTCCTACACAACACTTTCCTTGCTCCTACTACCCCTTATCCATGTAAGACAACCCTTTGCCAGAAACAGAGCAACGAGTTCAATACTAATTCGTTGTTGCCTTTGCCTGGGTTGCCACGGAGTTTTGGTCAGTCTATAGAGTCATCATCATCACTAAATACGACTGGAACTTCTTTGACCAACTTCAATTTGAGTACTATATTTCCAGAAATTAATAAGGTTTGTATACATATATTAATTACAACTGATTGTACATGGTCATGGTAACTCTTACAAGAATTATTTGCTAGTTTGTGATGTAAATTTGAAGTCAACAGGCCTAAAAATTTCGAAAATGGAAGTCTTTACTTTGAATTTCTAAGCAGTACTTTATTGAAGGTACCACGTCTCCTGAAAATTTCTGCATATTAGCTGGACTAAATTCACTTTAGTTTCCAGAGTAATAAAGAAAACACCTGCATGACCGTCTGTGACCATTATAGAATAGACGTTGACCTGTAAATTTAAAAAACCTGTGTCAGATGCTTTTATAAGTGTAGGATAAGCGCCAGCCAACACAGCTGTAGGAGGAGTTTAGATAGTGATAGTTCATGTTTTACTGATCAAATGTTCCAATGGGCGCAAAGCGCAGAAATGCTTTCTATTGGAGATACAGGCTGTTAAAGATTGGCGCCTCAGCCCCAGTGGGTACGCCTGCATGCATGACTTTACGAAAACTAACTCGTCTTTAATGTACTCGGGGAAATTAATGATACAATAAAAATCATATGAACACTTACACTATATGCAGGGTGTTCCAACAAAAATGGAAAATTGTTTAATAGAAAAGAAATATAATATATTTAAAAACCTTATGGGTGTGTTCCTCTGAATTATTTGGAAGTCTTGCACAATTCTGTGACACAAGAAACCTTTTTTTAATGGAGCACCCTATATTAGATTTTTGAAAAGACATTTCGAAAACAAAAAGATTGATGTATTGTAGCATTTCGACTGTCATTTGTTTAGTTATTTTATCATTTGTCTAAAAAATGCTTATCTTTGAATGTTTTGACTTGTATCATTTTTCGTTGTTTTTCACTAAATATTGGAAAGAGGATAAAAAATTACGCTAACTTTACCACGGTGCTGCAAAACGGCTAACGATGATTTTCTTTAATGGTTTTAAATTTTAATTAAATTTTTACACCATCAGATTCGCGTTTTAATTAGTTTGTCCGTATGTATAAGGATTAATACTTTATTTGAATGGTTATCTAATTGTACTTAATAAAATTTAAGCTGTTTAATTTAAAAAAATCATGCTGACGTGACTTTTATCATATCGTTGAGTCTACAATAAATACGGCCTAGTTTTAGTAAAATGGTGTAAGCAGGCTTACCCACAGGGGTAACACCCTGTATCTCGAAAGAAAGCACTTGTGGGCTTTACGCCCATGCGAACATTTGATTAGCACAACATGAACTATTACTACACGATTAAAATGGACAGGTGGTCAAATTCCATATGTTTTGTGTCTGTCTATTTTGAATTTGTGTATCACTTCCAGGTGACATTTTCAAAAAAAAAAATTCGTTTTGGCCTTAGAATATCTTGAGTATGGATATAATTGTCTATCAATTCTAATCATTTGATAGAAAATAATTGCATGATACTATTGTGTGCTATCCATAAAAGTGACATTTGACCATTTTGAAAAAATTAAACTTCTAACATTACTGCTCGGCGTTACCTTGCGCGGATTGTCCAATTGTTAAAACTGTAGTACTTCCTTCACCAATGTTGAATGACGACAGAATTCATCTGAATGCGTAATATTCATATTATGGGATAATGTTAGTTTTTGTGGAGTATTTTTTGTGTATAGACAGAGTAACATACGAAGTTGTATTTTGGCACTTTAAAAACCACACCAGGTTAAGCACATACAGACAAGAATTGATTACGCAGTTGGATCATGTTTCCACAATTCCTCAATTGCTGTTCGCGTGCAGGGAACTGTGTGTGTCAAAATTTTGCCTCGGCCAAACGTCTTGCTAGAGCAGCAAAATAATGTTTTACATTCTTAATACACAAAATCATGTATCTTTGGGTTGTCGGAAAAGTCACGACGTATATGCAACAAAGTATGCAATTGCATGGTTGGAAGTACGTGAGTCAATGACATTTGTATGTTGATTGTGTAGTTTGACAGTTGACACTTCAAGCTTCATTTGCACCAAAAAATTCAGTGATTTATTTGAGTCTCGTCGATTTTAGAGGACGTTGAAGATGGACGACCAAACTGTGCATTTTCGTCACATTTTGCTGTATTACTTCCGCAAAGGCAAGAACGCAAGACAAGCGTGTGAAATGTTGAGAAAGGTTTATGGAGAACATGCACTACAAGAACGGCAATGCCAGAGATGGTTTAAAAAATTCCGAGATGGGGATTTTGATATCCATGACGCACCTCGATCAGGGCGGCCTACTGAGTTGGATAGTGACGAATTAAAGGCATTGGTAGGAGGAAACCCACATTACACCACACGGGAAATTGCAGAAACCTTAAAAATCCATCATTCAACCGTTCACGACCATTTGAAGAAACTGGGATACGTAAGCAAACTCGATCGTTGGGTACCGCACGAACTGAGAGAGGTTCATTTGACGGCGCGTGTAGACATCTGCGATATGCTCCTTAAACGTGAGGAAAACGATCCTTTCTTAAAGCGCTTGATAACGGGAGATGAAAAGTGGATTGTTTACAACAATGTGGTTCGCAAACGGTCTTGGTCCCGAGGTGTAGATACGCGTAACACGATCGCGAAAGCAGAGAGTCATCAGGAAAAGGTGATGCTCTCTGTTTGGTGGGATTTTAAAGGGATCGTGTTTTTCGAACTCCTGCCAAAGAACCAAACCATCGATACAACTGTGTATTGTCGGCAATTGGACAGTTTGCAACAATCCATCATGCAAAAACGTCCGGAGCTCATTAATCGCAAAGGAGTTGTGTTCCACCATGACAACGCGAGACCGCACACAAGTTTGCTCACTCGTCAAAAGTTATTGGAGTTAGGATGGGATGTGTTACCACATCCAGCATATTCGCCTGATCTTGCCCCATCTGATTTTCGTTTGTTTCGGTCGCTTCAAAATTCCTTGCGAGAAATACGCTTTACTTCAGATGAAGCTGTACATCAGCACCTTGTTCAATTTTTTGCCGGTAAAGACAAATCCTTCTATGAGCGAGGAATTATGAAGCTGCCTGAAAGATGGCGAAAGGTCATCGATCAAAATGGGCAATACATTATTGATTGAAGTTTGTGCTGTATATGAATAAAATGGCCTTAAAATAAACAAAAAAAAGCGTCATGACTTTTCCGACAACCAATATTTGAGGATTCCTGTTAACCAGACGCTTGTTATTTGGTTGGTTTTGAGTTATCTGAAGATGACAACCACTCGTGTTGGCGAAACGTTAAGTAAACATATTTCACGACGGCGTAACTATCCCAAAACCAACCAAATAACATTGGATGATGGCCGCGAAAGCCTTTCGCATTTCAGACGCTTGTTGTTGAAACATTTTAGATTGTATATTGATTTCTATGGTTATTTTCAATGGATCATGTTTTTTATTTCAGGCTTCTTTTAGCTCAGAAAATAAATACAATTTTAACACGTGAGCAGCCGGTAGTTATTCTTATGATGCATATAAATTGTATAAAAGCTGTAAATATATGTATATTTTAATATTTGTACTCTAAATGACGTTTCGTGTTGTTATACCTTGTTTTATTTTTGCTTGTTACATTGATGACTATCAAGATCTCTGAAGCATAATCTGCATGGGTTAAGTGTTCCAACGGTTCTCTTCAGAAGACGAAGAACGCCTGCGATGTATAATAATAATAATAATAATAATAATAATATATTTATTGTCCAACAGATACACCCATTTAAAGGACAATGTAATTGGATCCAATTTGACGTTACAGTATTTTTAACTACAATCATAGCTCGGGCAGTTTCTGAAAAAAAATGGAAGAAAAAATGAATAGCTACGCCTACTCACCTACATGTCTTAAATGCTATAAGTTGAATAATAGTAGTCGCTGAATACAGCTAATATATCTTTGACTTTATCTTGATGAATGTCACAATTATCAGCTATGGTGTTAAAGCTGGAGCGCATAAAGTACATGGGTGACTTTATCATAACATTAGAATTTGGTGTTTTTAAGTAAAAAACGAGAAATCTTCGGGAAATGCGGGACGGTACATGAAAATCAATCTTAGCTAATAAAGCTGAATAATCAACATCACTGTGTACGAGTTTGTAAAGGAACTTTAAACTATTACAAATTCTTCTCAGCTCAAGAGGATGCATTTCAAATCTGAGCAACATCGCTGATTGGGGAGTCCCACGATTGGGATAAACACCATCTAATTTGAAAGTCAAGTATTTAAGAAATCTCCTCTGTACACTTTCAATTTCATTAGTATAGATTTGGTAATATGCATGCCATACACTAGATGCATATTCCAGCTTAGAACACACCAAGGTGCAGTATAAAGCTTTCAGTGCCGTTTAACTACCAAACGATTTATACTTATACTAATATGACCTGTAAATTCTAATTTAACATCAAACAACGCACTTAGATCTCTTACGTCTGAACAACACATCAAACTAATAAAAAACTATTGGATTCGTTTTCCTGGTAAAAGAACAGGTTTTGCATTTGCTAAAATTAAAAAATAATTTATTAGTTTAACACCAATAATGGGGTAATGCAGGTTCAGTAACGAGTAAATTAAATGTCTTATCCGAATTTAGAATTTTTGTAGAATCACAGTACCAACACGATTATCACCAGCTACCCCCTTTTCAGGGCAAAACATATAGGAAGCTAGCGAATTAAAAATAATGTAGGTTCATAACAATTAAACATTTTATTTATCTATATATATATATGTCCTTTGTAAAATCCCATATCAAACAGAGATTATTTGTTCCCAAGATTTGTATAGTGAAAAATACAGACTTAGCGGAATGATTAAACAGATTTCAAAACGAACCAACAATATCAAAATAGCAGTCATTCTATAATTGATATGGTATAACTGTAGTTTTGAGATTTGTGTTCTTGAGCGGGGTCCTTGAGAAATCGACAAATTCACGTATGTGAAAAATATTCTCCGATGGACATGAAGAATGAAGATCGATCGTGATTTGATTGCAATATTTATTGGTGAGTTGTATTTTCATTTGGTCGAGGAAGTGGTTATGGCACAACAAAATTTCTTCCTGGCTTTGGTTGGTACATAAATTCAGTAATTCTTATTCATATGTTGTATAAAATCCCAAATTAAGTTTGATCAACCCATTCAATCAAATTAGACTATGTTTTGTTGCTGTATGAATAGACATGCAATGTCTATATTTAAATCAAGATATTGCATGTTCAGACTATCTGATGTAGGTATCAACAAATAAATATTGCACAAGTTTAGGAAAGGAAAAATATATTTTCGTATTTTAGATGCCTACATAAAGATTTTTGAAATGGTCGTGGATTTTGATATGCGAGCCTGCTATATTTTTAAACACTGAAATATCTGTCTTCAAGTCATTATTGGCCATTATAACAGAAATATGGAAGTGGCACAACATGGAGATGATATTGATTCTGTCTGTTGTCTACACTATCATAAATATTTAAAGTTTCATGTATCTAATCGAAATTGATCCATTCATTATCAGTATCAAAATAAAAAATCACCTACTGATAAATATAAGAATATTTGTATGGATTTGGTTATAGAAGTGTCATAATAAATATCATACGATATGTTGGGCAAAGTTGATTGCTTTTGAAGGAATCTGCCCGGAAGAATTAGATTTTTGGTTGAAATAAAATAACTTCGTCCTTAATTGAAAATATGAACTGCTTGCAATATTTCTTTTTGAAATACCGAAGATGCAGAATCGTTTATTTTGCGAAAAACCTATTTTGACGAAATATAGATATTTTTGTCTACGAAATGTATATTCTGTGTACTTCAACTTTTTATGTCCCCCTAAGTGTTTCCACGCTTTGCTTGCAAAATATGGCTCTAACTTCCATCAGATGTGAGACAACCTTTTATTCTGCGACATTAATAATTTGGCATGGCACGTTTGATATCCGGATTAAAAGCAAGTTTCGTCTTTCTACTCGTACATACGAATTTAAAATATAATTTATTCAACGTAAATGATCTAGAACAAGAATATTGTCATTCTTTAAAAAAATGACGTTAATAGTCCTTTTAAGCTATTAAAAATTTAATTTCGTCTTAGTGTAGAGTCCATGGACGATGCCATGATTGTACACAACCACCCGCCATATTGGGCAAACATTTATTCCTCTATTTAATAATAAATAATTATGTTTCAGTTCGAAATTACAGATATAAAGTGATAAACATTAGTGCAATTGTGTCTAAATATAGGATTTGTGGAAGATTTAACGCAGATAAGTTCAGTTTTCCATCTTAAAAATCTAGACATACTTTTGATCATTGTCAAAATATGAATCAAATACGAAGCCCGTAGAAATTGGGTAACTAATTTGCACGATAATCACAATAAAATTTGCTGCGCAAGTAATTCAATAGCCCTATATCAAAGTGTAGAAGTTTATCATATACCTGTGTATGAAATTCACAATGGCCGATATGTAAGTAAACAAGATGACTGTAATGTGTTAGTTATATATTCTTCACTTCGTCTATACAATACATAGGAAATATTTTGGTTGCAATAAAGTAGAATCACGTAAGAGAATAGTTGTATAGTTGACAAAAACTGAATCTTGCACTGACGCAAATGGCCTATAGCGGCTGCAAGAGGCTTACACTTTTGTTTTATAACTGTTACCTGCAGCCCTTATACAACCTCTTAAATGACTGAAGTGTCCTATTAGGTGTGCCCATTCCGCTTGTATATTGTTCTAAGAGGGTTTTGCTAATGTTCTTACAGTATACAATGCTGTTTAAGGAATACTGTATAATCATTCTTGCAACTCTAATAGGAGTGATAATTGTTAGTTGGGCAGTCAGGCAGCAGCGGTGGCCGCAGTAGTAGACTCTTCGGTCTCCTGATCAGTCGCCGTGTGCTGTGCGGGTTGGAGTCCCGTCCAAGGAGAGATTTTTCTCTTGGCTATGGATGTTGTGATTGTCCGTAGGTGGTAGATGGTCTCTGACTGTCGAACGTGGAGGTACCACCCGGCGGATCTCGTAGGCGGAGCCAGAATGTGTGCATGTTGCATGCACACGTGTTCCCTCGCCAGAGTCCGTGTGGCGTTCCCCCTTTCCCCTGTATCCCCCTATAGCCCCACGGTACCCAATGGGTGTTTAGGCCTTAGGCCTTCGTGGTAGTTGGAGTATAAAAAAAAGTATAGAATGCCCCATTGCACAGCGTGAATGTACTGTGTTTACTTCCAGTGTCTACCATTTGTCTATTGAAGGCTTTAATATTGCTCTAAAATAATGAGGAAAAATGTATTACTACTCGTAATCACTTATGTACAACTGCTGCTATTTTAATTTCTCTGTTGATTGTCCCACAGTATACAAGAGATGACGTGGCGTACCATGTGCATAAAAAATGGCATCACTGTATCTGACAGTCAATAAAAATTTCAAATAAAAGTATCTAATTATCATTTAATAGCTTCAATGAAATGTAGGTCTAATCTTATCGAAGCGAGTAGTGCTTTTCGTTCTAGATAGCGTAATATCAACCATGATGGTATACTTTGATACATCCAACTTAACAAATTTACAAAACAGATTTTATATGGGAGCTTCACGTTTCTTATTAGATTTCAGATTTTTGTGTTCAATATGGTTAAATGAAATGATCCTTTCAGCCGAAATGGTGGAAAGACAAAAGTGTTCCTTGTTTTATAAATAAAAAAACGAAAAATCCAAACGTCATCGACAAATCTGTTTGTCGCTCAAATTTTGTTTTTTGTCAACTTTTTATTTCCCACGCCACTAGCGAGGAAGTATTGTCATTGCGGGAAATTTCAAAAATGGACGTTACATCACGAAAAACAATCTCACTAATTTCCGTCTGGTCTAGCTGTCGGTCTGTTTTTAGGTGTGTCTGTCGGCTTGTCTGCCGGTGTAGATGCCTGTCCGCTAACTGTGTGACTTTGAAAGTTCTGCTCTGATTTTGATGAAATATTGACACAGTTTTTGAAAATAGACACAATGGCGGCGGAGATACTTGCAAAGAAGAAAGAGTAAACATGAGAACTGCTCAAACTTCGTTTTTTGAGGTTTCAGACTCCTGCCCATTTTTGAAAATTTTTTTGAGGAAGGTTAAACACTGTAGATGGTAGGGCTGCGGGAGGGTGAGGACTTTGAAATTAACGAACGAAAAGAGAAGATAACCTTGACGCATAGGAGGTTGGGTTTGGGTAAGCCGGTATCAAACATTTTTGAACAACAGGCGGTATTCAGTTCCCCGGGGGGACAAATCTTGAAAATCTTAAATATGGTTCACAAAACTATGCTGAATATGCAAATTTTAATATGCAGCCAGATTCTCAGAGAGGGGATGCAGAGCACGGCCACTGAAGACTAATTGGTTGGGTCTATTTGACTATATACTTGTATTGTATTCCTTTGTTATACGTCTTTCTAAGAGGGGCTTATTACTTGTGCCGAAAAGATTCTTTTATGTACTGATAACAGTGTTACGGGGAAAGTGTAGAGTCAACATACTTGAAGCCATTTTTTTAAATCAGCTTGTTGAGGGTTCGTCTGCCAGCAGTTAATAAGATGCAGGGTCGTCAAAGTTGACCCTTCATATCAGTGGCGTATATAAGGGAGGTACTAAAATACTTATTACGATCTGAGCAAAGATGGCAATTTTTAGGCGATCTATTATTTCGTCCTGATGGATTAGATAAGAGCCCGGAAAAATAGAGTTCTAGGACCAACACATTAGTTCCAGCTACTGACCTAGAAACACTGTATCGTTTTTACATTTTTTTTCTCAAATGAAGCTAAATATCGATATATGCCTCAACATTTGTGTATGGGTTTTGATACTCGTAGATGGTAGTCTCAAATATTTTATACCCGTTTTTATTGCTTTAATAGTCACTTAGTATAGTGCTTTTGAAAATGCACCTCATATTTATTTTTCGCACTGGCGAAGCAAGCTTAAATTCGGGGTAATGAAACTGATACATGAATACTATATTTTAGCGTAAAAGAGGCAGTTGATGATTTCAAGATGGCGACCCGTCGCCATTTTGGAACATTTATTTGAAACGGGATGGGAGCTCGAATGCGTTAACTTATTTTGAAGCTCTTTATATGTAGCTCTAGAATATAAAACAACCATTTTTTAAAATGGCGAACTGGCAGGCTGTCAAAGTCGAGCGTTTTTGTACATTGTCTTCTATTCGTCATTTGTTTGTCTGGGCGGTCCGTAGGACCTTTGACCATTAGTCACTGTCTGATGTACGTTAGTCGAATCTGTCAGTCCTGGTTGCCCAGAAACCAGTCAAAGTCAAGGAAAAAGAGAGAGGGAAAGAGAAGAAAAAAGGAGAAGAGCAAAGAAAAACAGATATGCTTAGTTTAAGAGGAAACACCTAGGCTTTTTGACTTGGTACACGGATTAATTTTGAGGTGAACTAAACGAATTTTTTGATTCGGTTTTATTAGAGTGTAATTTTGAGTTTACTAAAGATTCACGCTAACTTTAGATTACAGTGCGAGCCGTGGCCTTGAATGTTTACGAACTTGCTCCACTGTGTAGTACACTGAGACACGCAACAGAGTCTTGCTGTACGATTCCGCTTGACTATAACGTCGCTGCGCCTGAAGCTTGACATAATCCCTCAAGTAAGGAATGTCAAGGTCTCTGTGTAGTGTCTCATTTGAGACATACCATGGAGCGTTGCAAATTGTCCGCAAAGTTCTGCTTTTCAGTACTTGAAGACTTTGCATGTGTGTCTTGGCAAGAAAACACCAAGCCGCACATGCATAAGTAATGGCTGGGCTAATAATCATTCTATATAGTCGAACTTTGTTTATCGAACTCAATTTGGAGGATCTACATAACAAAGGTTATAGTTGCCGAAACGCAATTTGGAATTTTGTTTTTATGAATGCTGTATGTTTCTGCCAGGTCATGCCTTTATCAAGGGTGACACCGAGATACTTAGCAGAATTTGTCCATGGTACACGATTTCCGTCTACAGAAACCTCTGCTGGGGGGCCGCGACGTTTTTTGGTACAATAAATAGCCTGCGTTTTCGAATGATTAATTTTTATCAGCCACCGTTTCCGCCCTCTCATTCTGCAACCCATCGTGAAGCAGATCACCAGTACACGACTGGACGACAAGTCCAGTGTCGTCAGCATAGAGGTAGACTTCACAGTTGCTGGGGGAAGGGACATCATGGATGAAAAGCGAATAAAGAATTGGTCCTAAGACCGAACCCTGAGGAACACCAGCCCGTACTGGCCGTGTTGTTGACAAAACATTGTTAATTTTGATCCGAAACTTCCTTCCTTCAAGAAAGGATTTCAGTAATTTTAGAAGCCAAGAAGTAAAACCCTTTTGGATTAGTTTATACAGGAGGCCCGCGTGCCACACCTTGTCAAAGGCTTTCGAGACATCCAAAAGCAAGATGCCAGTACTCATGCTGAGGGTGACCCCTCTGGTTACATGCTCCACCAGCCTGACTGCCTGTAGCTCGGTGCTATGCTCGGACCGAAAACCGAATTGGACGTCAGGAATCACATGGCGATTTGACGAAAAATTCTCAAGGTGAAGATAAATCACCTTTTCGGCGAGCTTAGAAGGAGCTGACAGCAGACTTATGGGTCGGTAATCCTGAGGAAATATCGAACCCACCTTCTTTGGAATCATGATGAACTCAGCAGTCTTCCACCCAGCAGGGAAGTACTGCATTTTGAGCGTCGCATTGATTATTGTCACTAAGTATGTCATGGCTTTCGGCGAGAGCAGCTTCAACGCCTTGTTGGTGATTTGATCTTACTTATTTTCATCCCCGTTTGTCTGCCTGTTGTCTGTAATGTAGTCCAAGCTAGGCAGTGCCTTTCGAATTTTAACGTAATTTTCTGTAAGGTTATTAATATGGCAAATGCAGTTTTAGATTACGTCCAATTATGGCGAATGGTGAATGGTGATTGAAAACTACAAGGATCCCTTATAAATTGGAATATACCATACAGATATTTATAAAAATTTCTTAATACAAGTTACGTGGCAAGGAAGTAATTGATTCATAGTTTTTGGATATCGATCCAGTGGCGGTGAAGTTATCGAAAAAATGTGAAGAAAAACACACTCAAACCCCATCTCGTATGCTTTTTAGGATCATTAATTAATATTCAAAAAAACCCATGAAGGGATAAAAAATCCAGGACAGGAAACAGGAAAATATTACAATAATCATCAATATTTTTGTAGCTAGTAACACGGAAACGTTTCGAGGCGTCATTTTTAAAAACTAACAATCGGGCTTAGTAAAAGATAGTATTGTAATAAACATAAAAGGACTATAACATTTTATCTACAAGTTACACAATTTTTCCATTTTGCACAAGTTTCATGTCTACCAGTGTTCTGTAAACACATAAGTTATATAAATCTATCGAATTATCAAAACCACAAAATTCTACGCGTCTTGCATGGTGAGCGACAGCTGGAAATGGTCCGTCGTGATTTGCTCAGCGACCGCTAATAAAAAATCGATTTACTCAAAGCAAAATTTATCTCCCTATATACCGAATCAAAAACAAAGGTTATCTCAATCTAGTTTCATATTTACATACGTATTGAGTGAATACACGACACTTCAACTAAGAATGGACATTCTCAGATAAGACAGCACTTGTGCCATTCGTGCAGCATGTGATTGCGTCTATTGATACAAGTTGTGTAATCCTCTGTGTGATGATAGTGCCTTTTGGATACCTTGTAGTATTTACTGGTAAGTTCCAAAAAGCGTCAAGCAAAAAAAGCTCGAACCTGGCAGGCGTTTTTCTTACTTTCCACGTCACCGCGAAAGGAATAGTTATCGTAGAAAAATTGAACGTGGAATCATAGGTATATTTAGATGTTTCATGATCTGTACAACACGATAATCCATGCCACCAATATTGGTCAGTCTGTTTTTGTATGAAGCAGCCATTGCAACTATGTTGATGGTAGCCGAAAAACTTCCATGAGTTCTATGTTTTTAAATATTATTACGATAATTTGAGGAATATTTTACAACGCATCCAGACCCATCCATGTTAAACTTCTCGTTGCACGTAGGTATGTCAACAACCAAAAGCAGGCTCAGCATTAACCATTTTAATCTTAAAATACTATAACTTTTATTATCCTTGTTGACTTCAAAAATTCATAAATTATTAGAACAAAGTAAATATATATTATGTATAGTCCTAGATCTAGCAAAAGCGTTCGATACGGTGGATCACTCGCTACTATTAGGAACTTCATACGATGCAGGAATTAGAGGAAACGCTCAAAACCTTATGAGAAATTACCTGTTTTACAGAAAGCAATATGTTCAAATGAATGATTCCATAATTTCAGAAAAAACTGTGACCATAAGGGACAGTTTTAGGCCCGTTATTTTTTACTGTGTATATCAATAGCCTACTTAGCTTGAAGTCGCATGCACAATAATATGTTTTGCAGAGGACACAGTGATACTTTATTCTAATAACAATTCCTGGGATTATCTTAAGGAGACTGTTGAAAATGACATCATTTTAATTTCAGATTGGTTTAGACACAAATATCTAACAATCAATTTTCAGAAAACCAAGTATATGCCGTTCACAAACCTTAAAAATAAATTACCGTCATTTACCTCTTTAGAAATTAAATGTGACAATAAAAGTACATTAATACATTCAGCTGATAAAACAAAATATTTAGGTGTTCATCTGGATCCTCATTTAAAGTGGAATTTCCAAGTTGGTCATATAGTAACTAATTTAAGACGATTATTATTTCAATTCAAGTACCTCACTAAATATCTAGACCATGAAACTATGAAGATGTTATATCATGCACTTATTAAATGTCGCCTAATTTATGCCATACTAGCTTGAGGTGGTGCTCTCACCAACCAAATTAAGAAGCCAGAAATAATCCAAAAACAATTTTTATAATTATTTTTAAACGGCCAATTCTATATCCGTCTGATATGTTATATTCAGAAGTGAGACTACTCGATCTTAGGCAACTCTTTTTTTACAGTGTTTTGATCAATTTATTCAAAAATAAAACAAACCTCATTTCATTGGACCACAAATATGAAACAAGAAGCAAAGCCGAGGATATTAAAAGAACACCATTCAAATCCATTTCAAATAAAAATAGATTCAAAATTGAAATAAAAATAATCTTGTTAAATAATAATCGTCATGAAATAGAAAAATTCACTAAAATGAAAATAAATTAGTATATGAATATAATATTATTACACTTACCTTTATGGTTATGTTGTATTTAAATTTATGTATTAACTGTATTTAACTATTTTGAGCAAAAATTGTTGTGAAAAATGTTTTCCCACGCACAAGAATTAAATTCTTCTGTGGGATTATTTCAGCTTATTTGCGTATATATGCATATTTATTTCCAATAAACTGTAATAGTTTATACGTGAATAAACTTATATTATTATTATAGACTTCGATTCGCCATAAATCTGAAGGTACAGGTTCAGGTGAAAAATGATTTTTAAGATTTTCTAGAAATCCAAGTAAGCTGACTCGGTACTTTCCACAAATTTACTTAAATCGCTTTAGTTCAAATTATTCCGAGTGTTTCAAGTTCGACCGTCACCACTGAGATCTCGGAAACGGTCCAAGGTATAAAGTCGCTTAATTGGGAGCAAGTTTCCTACTAGGGTAACTAACAAAATGCCACTTAGAAAAAATTCAAAGCACTTCCGCAGAGAGACGAAAAAATCCTGATTTTTCCCATAATCGTTTTTTCCTTACTTCATTTGTAGTTGGGTACCAAAATAAATAACACCTTAATTGTCACCTTTTCTCCTCTACAAGATGGCATAATAAGAATTTCAAAATGGCGTTTCGTCCAGCATCAACTTTTTTTTATCGATGCCATCTTGGATATTTGCGTAGATGAATAGAGTCTTTAATTCTGATTTCAAAAATATGTCTACATTGACATTGCCAAAGTTATTTCAGAAAAACAGAAGTTCCTAGGCAAGCCTTGAAGTTATCAGATTTCATTTATGTCGTATACCACGTGAGACCTCAAATTGAACATAGAAACAGAGTTTGCAAAACTGAAAAGGAGAGGAATAAATCGAGCAGTGAACAATGTACAGAGAACAGTCAGGTTTTACCTACAAAATAACGAACATTTTGAACGTCTGCTATGGTTTATGTGGTTATTATTGTTATTACCATCAATAACATTTTCATTCTGTGTTCAGGTTTCACCATCCTTTTTTATTTACTTAAAATTTTCAAATTCATGGCCAACTAAGGAAATACATCACTCACCTTAGGACTGAAAAATCCATTTAAATGGACAAAATTGCAATGTAGCGTCCATATGAAAAAACAAAGTTGATCTGGTAGAGGAGAATGAGCAACACTGACAACATCCGATTGACTTTGAAATCCCATCTCAAATATAGTCAGGAAAATACAAAAGTGTTTTTGGCATAAATCGGGTATACGAAACAAGTGACTGATAATTTCAAGGCTATCTAGGACATTCAATTAATCTTAGATATTTATCTATACAGAAATCCAACATGGTGTTCTTTAGAAAAATTAAGTTGATACTGGAGGACAAGAGACGAAACGACATATTGAAATTCTAATTATACCATCTTATAGAGGAGAAAAAGAGGCAATGTTGATGTGCAATGTTTTTGAAAAATCACTACAAATAAATTTTTTTGAGAAAATTCGGATTTTTACCGGCACCAGTATCACCTATCTTGAAAAGTGACATTATGTCGATATTTTTTGACATTGTATTGGTTTTCTGTGACATTTTGTAGGTTTTTCTACAAGATGTTAACTTAGCACTAGCTGATGGATACGATGTGAACTCGTTTTGTAGTTGTACGTGTTGCCTAAACGCCATGAGGCTTCAGTTATCAACGTTTGGCTCTGATGTGATGTGAAATCTGCTCCAGAGATGGCATTACTGGAGGTCTAAGCTGTTAGTTTTGTACTACGTATATCTAGAAGGAAACGGCAATGCATGGGTGCATAGTGAGGATCTGTGTGCTAATAATATGTGTTGATGATGATTCTATTGGATTCTTGTCTCAAATACTCTTACTTGAGATTCAAAGCCAGAAATTATAGTTGCGCATCCACTTTTTCTTATCCATTCTGGAAATTACATAGGTATGCAAATTTGTTGAATTTCAAAAACGAGAGAGATAAGAAATAATTATATTCACCGTACACTGTCGAATTACAAGTCATAGTAATTACACACAACGCGGGCGCGGTGGTGATTTCCCGTAATTCTCGTAAAAGATTTTGAAAACACAGAAAACCGTAATTTTTGGTTTTGAACATAACCTATCTCCAGAATGGACAACATACATTAGATAACACGTCGGACACAGCTAATAGATACTTCATTGGCAGCAGATGCGATCTTGCTATTCAACCAACTTTCTTCTCAGAGATTACTCGGCTTCACAAAACATATGCAACCAACAATGCGTGTAGTTGAGCTATCCCTCCATAGATGGACGCTCACAACGATCCTAGTGAGCAAACGTGGAATGACTGTTTGTACCCTAAAAACTATCTAGTCTGCAAGATGACATTTTATAGATTTTTTTCTGACGTTTTATAGGTTTTTTACATCATATCCGCACGGGTATCATGTAGAAAACCTATAAAACGTCAAAAAAACCTATAAGATGTCAACTTGCAGACTAGGTAGTTTTTAGGGCGCAAACAGTCATTCCACGTTTGCTCACTAGGATCGTTGTGAACGTCCATCTATGGAGGAATCACTCAACTAAACTACGCATTATTGGTTGCATAGCTTTCTGAGGCTGAGTGATCCGGGTCTGTAGTTTTTATCTCTGAGAAGAAATTTGGTTGAATAGCAAGATCGCGTCTGGATGATTATGTGTATTGGTCTGCATGTGTATAAAATCAGTGATATTTGCTGTGTGAGTAAATCATTACTGAATATGCCGAATATGACGGGTTATTTATATGTTGTGCTTTCTGAAGAGAGGTTATATTCAAAGTTATAAATTATGAAAAACTGAGGAGAATTACGGGAAATCATCACCGCTCCCGCGTTGTGTGTAATTACTGTTAGCATGTATGGCTTGTAATTCGACAGTGTACAGTGAATATAACTATTTCTTATCTCTCTCATTTTTGAAATTCAGTAAATTTGTATATGTAATTTCCAGATGGATAAGAAAAAGTGGATGCGCAACCTATTTCTAGCTTTGAACCTCAATTAAGTGTATTTGAGACAAGAACCCAGTGTAATTATCATCAACATATACAACTTACAGCTTAGACCTCCAGTAATCCCGTCTCAGAAGCAGATTTTAAATCACATCAGAGCCAAAGATTGATAACAAGCCTCATGACGTTTAGGCAACACGTACAACTAAGTTAACATCTTGTAGAATAACCTACATAATGTCAAAAAAAAAACAGCATAATGTCAAAAAAAATCGGCATAATATCACTTTTCAAGATACGTGATACCCGTGCCGTGCTGAAGTAGTTATTTTGGATATTAAAACTTTCTAAGCGGCATCTTGTTAGTTACGTGAATACGCAAAGTGTATTACAAAAAATTGAAAACTGTGTCCTCGAAAAAATTATTTCATCGTGACCAAAGAACATCTTGGAAGAACTAACGGAATTTGGTAATACAAACATGTTTGAACACATATATTGTACTCGTATTTTCCGATCAGAAAGCTCC